GTTTTCTGTTAATTTGACGTTACTTCTCTTGACCCAATTTCTCGTGTGTTCGAGTATTTTATCAGTAATACGATTTATTTACGCTTCTTGTCACTGAAATATTACATTTACAAGAAAAAGTTGTGTCACCTTCACTGTAACACGTTACGTAGAAGGTTATCTTTTAATAAATATAACAAGTATTATAAAATATTCAGTTTTCCAATTGAAAAAAAACTTCTCGCGATTGTGTCTTAATTTCTGTTTCAAGGCAGAGGACTTCTTTTATATTTATCTAAAATTCATATTATTGCAAAGATTTAAATGAATTTCGAATAATTTCAAATATTTCTATACTTATCGGCATCAGTACCGAATTTCAAATCGAATTTTACGGTAACATTTCGAATAGAAAATATGTAACAGAAATTCAGGGATGCCGCGTAATCTAAGTAATTTGCATTGACTCGTGCAATGTTACGGGAGGGTGACGTCGCGTGTTATCTGTTTTATGTGCAAAGGAAATTAGAAGACAACCACAAATCTCGTGACTTTCCTTTATAGAGTACGAGAAAGTCAGATCATACTCCAGTTATTTTCGTTTTTTATTGTTATAGAGGCATTATTACATGCCGTAATGTATTCTTTGTTATATATATTAAATTATATGGACGTTATAACATACGAGTGATTCATATAATTAGAATTGGCGACCGAATTTCTTTAGACCATACATTTACGAAATTTGTACACCTTTTCGGAATGCGACAGTTTGCACCATTGACTGGCAGTATCAACAATAGCCTGTGATTTAAATAGATTTTATTTTCAGCGTTTTTAATAATATAAACCCTTTATCTACGTATCACACACTTTCACACCCATGTATTTGTCAATACAGCAATTAATTTTTTCCTACTCCGTGGCCCGTTTTGCATTCAAAATAAGAAGAATTGTATTTTTGTGGCCGTTCGATATTGTAAGAAGGTCGATCCCTCATACGATGCTGGAGGATGTCGATCTACCAAGAATAGATATTTTACGGAAAACTTTACCGTATTTAGATATTCACAGGTGAAGAAACCTTGGAAATCTTCAGTGTTCACTGGTAATTTTACTTGACTATTTCTGGCAAAAAATAAATGTATAATAATAGCAATGACTGCAGTTAAAGTGAACACTTTCAACTTGTTTACTAAATTTAACTGTCGATACGAAAAAAAAAACCGGAAACATACAGGTTTCTTCAATAGCGAAGATATTGTAAAATGTATACAAATAATAAGATAAACTGTATGATACCGTACGAAGCAGAATAATTTGTTACCGATTTTCCTGTTCTTGACCCAATTGTGTGTCAATGTCGTCGTTCTACCATTTCTTTATCTATTTAAATTTCAAATAGACTTGAATTAAAATCGAAATAATAATTTATTGCCGAGAACTGCTTATGACCGGAATGAATTTCAAAAATATTTGTTTTTTACAGCACCCAACTATCAGCAAATACCATCAGAAAGTTTATCTAAGATAATGGAAAAGGCACTTTGTACTTAAGAACGATTCTTTTTGGAAAACTTCAATTTAAAAATACTTTATCATTAGTGAATTTGAAAATTTATTTGTTCTATTTTTTGCTGTATGCACTAATTATATATTACACACGTGACGTTTTAAACATAATTAAATAATCTAGTCGCGCCAGTTGTTAATGTTACCGTCTTCAAGGTGGTAGTTGTTTCAACGAGGTCACAACACCTCGTTGAGTAAACAAGTAACAAACAGAAAATATTTGCTACTTGTCTTCGTTATCGCTCGGTTATAAATTTACACATTTAATAAAAAGTAAAATACATGTTAACTTGTTTACTAAATTTAACTGTCGATTAATTTAGTAATTGTATTATAAAATATTCAATATTAGTATTACTATATATAAGTATTACTATATAAGTATTACTATATATATATTAGTATTACTATATAAGAGTGGATAGGAGCCCTTTTCTACAAAGAAATATTATATTTTTAATTGTGTCGGGATTGTCACCTGTAGACATTTTAAACTGCTTTACATATTTGTGCAGAGGAATAGCCTCTAAAGAAAGGTTCTCTGCAATGGAAATAGTTGTTCCTGGTGATTGGACATGGCAAGCAAAATTGGACTCGTATCCAGATGTATTTTACTTTTTATTAAATAGTAGTTCTGCCAGCTTTTTTCTACAAAAAATTTACACATATTAATTAATGACGATTTTGCCTGTAGGTAAAATATTAATAAATCGTTTTAATTAGAACAGTTGAACGTGTTCACGCAATAAAAACACATGGAAGAAACTAAATCTTCTTGATACTTTTGTCGTGTTCAATCGCAGGAACAAACAATCTTCCTTCACAGATACGACGCTTTATACACGCGTCCAGTAGTGGTTTGACAGGAACAATAAATTTCGCGACACCTTCGTTGTCCTTTACAATCACCCGACCTCAACCTTGGAGAATCTTGGAGGAAAGGTGTGCAATAAATTTTCTCCACTACCCACACTTTGGAACACTACACTAATTCTATTTATATAATGAATGGATGACTTTTTATTTTTACGTATTTAATTGTACTTTACTTCGTTAACCTATTTAGTAATTAAAGGTTTATAAAATATCATTAATGGTGGAGTGGATAAAACATCGATCGTGGGGGGTTCGTGATTTACCTCTCACCAACGACACGGAACGTAAATTTTTCCGGTTTTCTTTACGAGTTACTCCTTAAATAGCGGACATTTCCGTAATGTCTTTCTTAGTGTATGCTTAAGACAGGTTATATATTATCAACGATAATTTTAATAGACATTCTATTATTTCTTAATTAAATGTTATCCGTAGCTTTGATAATTTCTAGTTCGTTTTCGAGATGCGTTGCAGTACTTATTGTTAATTTGTCTACCTCGGCCGCTTTAATAGCGGTATCGAGCTTATAACCCGATAATTCCGCAGTTGGTTTGGCTTTAATAATCGGGTTTATGAAGAAAAACGCCATACTGGCAGACTTCGTACTCGTATCCATCATTGTTCAATTTGCACACCTGGCATAAAGCAGTTATTGAAGCTACTGGGCATAGTTAAAATTAAGACAATCTATGGGATGTCATAACAAGCTAAATGTAAAAAAGTAATAAGTAGATTGAAAATTAATAAATACAAATGTATTCTGACAGTTTATGAGTGAATTATACTTTTTATTTGCATAATTAACTCAACCTTAACACAAAAAAAGAAAAATTGAACTTTTAAGAAATTGGCGAGATCTTCCCAGATGAGAAGTATTTCTCGGATTGAAAAAATCAGCCGGGATCCCGTTTGAGAAACCCCTGAATAAAATACACACAGAACAACCCACTAACAACGTCCATTTTTATGTTCACGTGGGTAATCGTTGTTCGGAGGTTTGACTATATATTTTGGTATATACATTCAAACCTCTTTGATTCGTTCCACAGAAATTTGTTTCTCAGTTATAGAATATCATTATTGTACTTTTACGAAAATTCGATTTTCCGCCATTATTATATGCTTACCTTCGATTGTCAATAAATCAAATAAATGTGGCAACGAACTGAAGTACCGGCACATCAATAAAAATTAGATGTAGTGAAGTCTGAAAGTCAATTGTTAATCTCTTAAAACTTTTAATAACTTTCTCTTTATAAAATACCTTTACATTAGTTTTATTAATGTCACATTCGCAATGATCCGTCCACGGTGAATGATTGTTTTTTAAGCTGATGGCGCCTTCGTGCTCTTAAAGTCTAACCCGGAGCTGTCTTCGCCTTTTACTTATGACGATGTATTAAGTTTATTTTTAATAAATAATTCTACTGTATATTTGAAATTACTAATGGATTACATATTTCTACAATTTTATGAGTCTCTAACCTAATTTTAAGTTGAGGATCTCTAATTTCAGTAGTCAATAATTTATTTTTTTCTCGCCTTCTTCACTTTAAATAAACCGCTGTCTCGCGAAACCACACAGGAAAATCTGTAATAATGTTTTTTCTTGACACGGGAATCCGCTCTTATCACCCGTTTAAAAATACTCACCATTGCAATACGTCAATAGATATAAGAATCTTGGAATTATTTTTCGTATTAAATTAACTTAAAAGTTAAATTAAAAGTCATGTAGACAAGTTGCTGTCATAGGCTATCAGTCAGTTTCTTTTGTAAAACTTGCCGAATATATTCTTTTCAATGTGTCTTTTAATGAATGTATGAGCCAAAAATTTTGAAACCTGACAGATTATTTCTGTATATAAGGAATTTTGGTAAAGGTCGAAGAGTGGAGAGATAAGGGTCGTGTTGTGCCATATCTCCAGTGGAGTCAAACTCAGCGGCGATCATAGACTATGAAAAGTGGAGAACGAGCTATAAAAACAGGCATGGTACATCATGAAAAGAGCTTCAAACTCTGATCTATGCATGTTGAGTATTGAGGGATAAAACTACTGAACACTTGTCGCAGGCTATTACGTGGTTTCCCGTTTCCTTCATGTCTAGCATGTAAATAAGGTTGAGTTTTCTATAGAAAGTCCTTTCTTGGCAGAACGCCCAGATGTTGCAATGCTTTACATCATCAATCCGGTTTGAACAAAATGTTCCGGTTGTAATAACTGCATGACATTGCTTCTTGTGAAGTTGAAATGACTCAGACAGGCATTAAACAGAGATCAATGATATTCCAATTGACTTTTTTCGTGGTAGATATGTTTAAGGTTTGGAAAACTGTTTAACACGCAATTACTTTTCGTCTGTATCAAAGATAAAAGAGCACAGGCAGGGCGAGATAAGCGAGTCTCAGTATTGAATGTAAGTATGTACTGTACCATTTTTAGATTTCTGAATATGAAATGTTGATTGGCTTTTAGTTTATCATTATTATTTTAAATACAGCTAAAGAACTAAGTTAAAAGTACTATCACTTACAAACGGCATTCCTTTGCATTAAAAAAATGACTACTATAGCAGACAAAGTGGATGTTGACTTATTATAAGGTTACGTGTTCCCAAGTTGCAACGCCAACAAGCAATGCGACCACGAGAAGATGCATGCAACTCGCACGGTTGGAAATTGCTAGGACCACTGCTTAAGGTGGCTCAATTTCAAAAACATTTTGCCTACTTTTTCCTAATATAACTATTAATTTGTAATGACTCGAACCCCTTTCGTTTGCCTAATCTCCTTTGTAAATAATATACCGTTTTGAAGTGTCTGTGCACTTGGAACAACTGCGACTTGTTCCTTGTGCACAGAACCAGTTAAATCCTGTATACTGGCTGGAGCCATTACCCTGTAAATTAACAAATAGAAAGCATTTATTTATTTCATTTTCTCAAAAATTGTTTAATCTGAACATATGGAAAACACAAAATTGTACTGAAATTTTAAGCTGGATAATACCATGCAACAGTTTATGTAACTAGTATGGTATTTCCCCATTATTGGGCTTCGAGTGCAATGAATTTAGCTGTTAGGCACAAGGAATGCAGAACGGAAATGCTCCCTTATGATTATCCATTCCATTTCTATTTATTTCTTTCTCATAGAAGTAATTTGATGGATTCACATTTCTATATTGGTGATAATTCCTATTTAAGTTTTAATTTTGTAGTATTTTTAACACCAAACTTAGATTACAACATGGAAAGGCTCAAAAACCAGGCCGAGAACCGTAATCTAGATTATATAGTGATCTATTTATATCCATTTTGCTTTAATGCTTTACTATTAAACTATTATAATTAGTCAACCTATGCTAACTACAAAGTGATGATGTGTCAATAATAGGCTCAAACCAACCTTACTTACAGTAAAAATAATAATATATGTAAATTATTTCTTTGTTTATTAATTTACATCTGTATACTTTACATAATCACAATGTATAATTAAATATCAAGTTGGAATTTGGAATGTTTCTTTTCAATTTCTCACAAACAAAATTCACTCCGTAGCAATTGCAAATTGCGGAATTCTTCCGAATTCTCCGTATATAACATTCTAAACAAGAAATTTCTCAAAATACTTAAAAATTTATCTTGTAAGTCAAGCAACTCACATAGAATGGATCAAATATTTTAAAACGACAAATCGAACAATGGCATTGGAAAACTCCGACGATTGTGGCCTCGACCTGTATTGTAAATATATTGCTAAACAAATTTTAAAAATTCATTAATGGTCCGAATAGATGGATTTGTAGTATACTCTTATATGCGGACTATTCTAAATATCGGGGCTTACGGGTGGACTAATATTAATATCCGGTAGTAAAGTACAACTTCGAATAGTCTGGACTTTGTCTTCCAACTGAAACAGATCGTTCGTCAATCTGCGAAGAGTCGAGGAGACTTCCTAGAAAAAAAATAATAAATGAAATTAAAGGTTAAATTCTATATAATACCGACAAACATATTTACTAAAGACAAAAGTAGTAGCATGTATACAGAACGATTTTTTTTTTAACAATAAACAAATATATGTTAGCCTATGACAAATGCACACATACCCCAGATTAACTGCTATCATGCTTCTCAACTGACTTGAAAGTTTAACCAATGTCTATTCTATATATAAAATGCTTAGCTTAAAATCGATCATTAAAATAAAACAAGAATGGTAGCACCTGAAACAATGAATCATTACAAAATTTTTTGGACAAGCAAGCAAGACAAGTTTTCTTGCTTGACTTTGCTTTGAGGTAGACTAATACTACGTTCACACACAATCCACGACTCACTTCGATCTCGATTTACCTACAATCTGGATTGTGACTGTCACTAGTCGAACGTCGTGCCGTTCACACAGGCAGTCCGCTCGAGAAGAACCTGGCTATTACACGCGATCATAAAACTGACGTAACTACGCGGTAAGTCACAAACACCAACAAAACAAAATGGAAGTTTTGGTTAGAAATAAATACTTTTTCTTGCCGTACATCTAATAATAGACAGATGTCAACATCTCTCCAGCTGTCTTTTTTATTTCTCTGTCGATAGCCTGACACGTGTTCTGCAACCATCTTGTATTTTCTCGCACGCGTGGGATTGTGGGATCTCTCTTATGACTGGATCTAGTTTCAAGAACTCTCTCCAGTCGATCGCGATAGAACCTCGTTTCAGTCGAGATTGAAACGGTCGAGAGCGTTCGCACCACGGAACTCTCTCCGACCTTAGTCACAATCTAGATCGAAATGCTCAGTGCGAATGGGGTATAAGGGAACAAAGTAAGTGGAGGTTGGTCTACAATTATTAAAAACCAATAGTAGTAAGGAATCTAAACAGTATACTCTGGGACTATTTTAATTATCATATTACTTTGAGAAAATCAAAATGTATTGTTGCTTTTTAAAAGTCAAGAAAGGGAGAGTGAAAACCTTACAATGAACTAGTCTGAAACAAATTTGAAATAGCATTTCACATACAACATCCTCAAGAATACAATAAAAAACAATAGCTACCTTCAATCATTTTCATCCCCAGATGAAGCCAGCAAATAAATAGCAATGTATGGTATGAGAACATTTGAAGTAGCCAACAATCAGCAGAGGATTTTCTGCATCTTCAATTTATCCTCTGAAACATCAAAAGCAACAACAAACAAATTGTGTTTGCAACATTTATGGCCACTTCCAATTCCTCAAATATGATATCAGATGATCCATCATTTAAAACAATATATGGAATGATGGGTTTACATGAAAATAGTGCCAAACTTCACCAAGGTTTGTTCATAAATAAGACAAAAACTTTGGTCCCTAGAATGGGTATTTGGTATGCTGTGCAAGTACTGAGATCTTTATTAATGAGTGGGGACATAGTTTCTTTTCAGGCTAAGAAACATATCTTGTGGAACCATGTTATGAGACATCTGTCTACCAGCACCAAGCTATTGCAATAAATACAGATAATTCACAAGGTCTGATGGGTTCTGTAAAAGACCAAATTTCATCCTGTCCATCAGCAGAAGGTGTAGGATAGGACTGTAGGGTTTACAACAAAGTATTATATGTCACCCAAGCATAATAAAATCTATCTAGTGACTGAACTATGCATTTCTGCACATTTGCAACAACACTGTTCAGATGTGCCTACAGCAATCACATCGGTTTCACAGCAACTTTCTCTAGTTTCTTAACAATTAATATAACCTCGAAATGTACTTTGTAAACAATCTTTTTCAAGATGAAGGAAAGGTATTTTTTGAACCACACAGTTTTACATCTATACCGCTAGTCACATTATCATGATGCATAGCAAAAATAGGCATAGATGAAGTAGGTCAATTCCATCATCTATTATAGAATTGGCAAGTCTAGATGAAAAAAAAGGGGATTATTTCCCCAACATGTGATATATAATGCAGATTTGGACTGGTCCTGACTCATATTCCCTCAATTATACATAACTTTGTAATAGTGTCTTGGAATATCTTCCAAAGTAATAACTAAGTATTTTAGTTAGGGACAGATATAACAAAACAGCAACTAAAATAGTTTTAGAAAAATAACTATTAGCTTATCAACAACAATACTAAATGGCCTCAGGGGACACAACATCAACACTTGGCAGATGTGGTTCTTAACTTAAAAATAGAAATGTAAAAAAACCTGAAGAGGAGTGCAAGTGATACGAAAATATTGCACCCGAAATGCATAGTAAGTAAGAAAATAAAGAATACGAAGATAAGCTATTGTCTCTGATTAATCCACATCCATTGTTTTTTCTGGATTCAGTGGAATTAAGTTTACTGCAGAAATTTTTCGGATAAAGCAATATTCCAAAGCATTTTATTACTTGTTATTTTTGAGTTAAATTGTCATATAGTCTGACTGTTTCACAGGTGGTATCAGCAATTTGTCCCCCCAAAGGGGCATCCATTAACTCTCTATTTGTGTTTGCTAGAAATTCCTGGGATGCAGGAAATTAATGAAGTGATAGGGAATTCTGTCTGTACGTGAGGACGGAGTTTACGCTCAGATTGTGTGGTAAAAAAAATGTATGTACATAGTCTACTGCAACAGTTAATAAATCCATATTATTGTAATATTAAACTTTCATTATATTACAATATTGAAATACATGTAAGGACTATATTTATTTTAAATCCAGAGTATTAGTGTTAAAAATTACAGTAAAATATCATATACAGTACGTTGAAAATGCTTTCAAAAGCAATAATTAAACTTCTTTTTTATAACTATTTTACTCCACTTGACCCTAATAAAGAGAAACTTCCATAGAAAGCCTAAAAGTTAAAAGTTATTAATTAAAATCATTTACCTGGACAAGAATTTGTGATTTTATTAATTGTTGAGAAATGCTTCCTATCTCTTTGGCAGCAGATTGATACGGTTGGCAAGCCATTTCAATTAAATTTTTATGTAAACTTTGATTTTTCTCTCCTGAAAAAAACATTTGTTAATTAGAATTTCCAACTTATCACAATAAAAATCCAAAAGTAATTAAATCTGTTATAAAAGTATATCATTATTTATATATAAAACACAATTTAATTATTATTGTTTGCTTCATATCTAGCGGAATTCGTTGATGTCTTTATGAGGTATTCATTTACTTTTACTTAAATGTGTTAGCTTAACAGCTAATTTAACTTCTTAAAATATCTTTTATTTTAAATCTAAAATACATTTTAGACTTTTCAGTTACTGTTTAATTGATTTTTACAATTGTTTTCCCAATATCTGTTTATCATATAATCTTATAACACTTTCAAATGTTTCCTTGTAATGATGTTATTTTAAAACCTTATAAAATCTTATACAATATATATCAAAAATGTTATTAATTATAAGATAAACAATAAGATAAGCATTACCGGATAAAGAAAAAGGCAAGATATTTATATATATATTAACATCTGAGACAATTGGATTTCACCCCCAGATAACAAAAAAGAAAAGCTCCCCAATAAAATAAATCTGTGGGAAATCTGAATGTGTTATTGCAGGCCTATTAGGTAGAAAAAAGACAATTCACAATTACTTAAATGTTGGACCATGACAATTATGGCAGGCCAAGAAAACTTTCTGCCAGAGAAGACAGGAAATATTGAGAACAGCTACATCCTCTGATATGTCATCTAGTCAGATTACGGTTTCATTGCAATGCATTATGTTGGCCATTCAGATTTATGAACTCACACAGCTTTTATTGATAAGAAGAAATTGAACCTGGATAGCCCTGATGGTGGGAGATACTATTCGAATGTTACACGTCACCATTCTCCTATTTTATCAAGATGGGGGATCCGTGATGGTATGGGCAGCTTTCTCTCATCAGTTAAAATCAGCTAGTACTTTCACTTCACCTTGTTCAAAGTTGACTATCAATATGCATTAGGAAATTATCTTCTACCATTAAAAGACAAAGTAATGGACAAATATTTTATTTTCCAACAAGATAATGCTCCTATTTGTAATGCTGTCTCAACAATGATATGGTTGTCTGGCAATAATATCAATGTTTTGCCATGTCCACAGTGTAGCCCAATAGTAAACCTTCGGGATGATTTAGTAAGAGTAGATTATGTCAATGGAACATCAATTTAATAATGTTTCTAATCTTAAACTTTTTTCCAGGACTGTATATATTAATCCAGACTTGCAATATAATTGTTATATTCAACTATTTCTATATCAACATTAGCCTTAATGCAAGATTCCTGTGTATCTTATTGATTTGTGTCTGAGGAAGGAAATAGATATACAAGTCATTAACATTATTACAGGTTCATTCACTATCTATTTTTATCAGTACAGGAGATGATGAAAAGAGAAGGGAGCCATGGTTTTTAAGCTTTTATATCAAGCAGCCAAGCCCTCAGGCACTGCACTTGACACACCCTTTACAAGCCGTGGTGAGACACGATAAGAAACTTAATTACTGTATATCTTCAGAATAATACAGCAATATCGGAGTATCATCATCATCATTATTCAAATTGCAGACTGCAAATTCATAGAAGTTTAAATTGGAATAAATTATAATTTAAGTAATAATCTGTTACTAATTTCAGCTGCAACTTTCTAATTCATTACATTAGGGATTCAAGCACTGCTTCAGATATTGATGTTTGTGCTTGTCATATTTTAATAGAGAATACTCTGTAAGCAAGAAAACACTGCAGTCGTATAGTATAATAATAATAAACTATACTGTCAGATTATTCATAAAATCAAAATAGATAAAAATATTTATAACAATGTCTGCAATGTTATCAATTTAATACATTTAAGTGCTCAATGAACACTAAACGCAGTTGAAAACAAAAAATCACATCTAAATTAGTACGGTAGAAGCCGTTCTTCAGGTTAATCCTTAATCCTTTCCCTCTCCCCGGTGCGAAATTTCGAAAAATCCCTTCTTAGTGTGCGTTTTTATGACATACCCTAACCGTGTACCAAATTTCACCTCTTTAGGTTCAGCAGTTTGCTCTGGGCGATGATGAATCAGTCATTCAGTCAGTCAGGGCAAGTAATTTTATTTAACATTAGAAAATTAATTGAAATTAAGTTTAAATGATTAAATTCCATATTATTTACTTTCAACCATCACTATCATCCTCTACAGAATAGCAGATGGTAAAAAAAGTTGTAACTGAATGTGCACTTGTGTGAATGTAAGTGTACAGAGAACTGTCAGTACATTAACAGAACCTTAATTAACATTTTCCAAATCTGTTTGTCGCACTGTTTTACATACAAGCCGTTGATTTTGAAAGTGGGGAAAGTCCCCGTTATGTTATTACTAGATATTTAATGGTTTGTAGTGCTAGAATCTTAGTTTCATTGTAAACCCAATGTAAAAATGAAGTCTTACATATATAAAGATGTTAAACTTATTATTCCTATATTTATTTTAGAATTGGTATTAAAAAAAAACGTTACTTACTTAGCTTTCGATGAAGTAATCTACAAAGAAACGGTAGAGCATTTAAAATATGATACTTATTAAATGATTAATAAAAAGCATTAATATTCATAATTGTTTACGTGTTGTATCTAAGCCGCTCTTCAAATTTGGGTATGTCCATCTTTTCGACACTCTCAGAGGAAGAACATCGCAAGTCAAAATTTTGTTCTCCTGAAACAAAACGATTTTGTACAATTATATACATATAATTATTATATTATACAACAAAATAGTAACAAAATGTATAAAAAGGTTTTGTGGTATTATAGTGATTACAAGATTAAAGTTAAAAGTGTGAAATTCAAAGTTCATATAACTTTATAAAAGAAGTTAATCCTTTAAATTTATAATAGGTTCCTTTAACTAAAGGAATTTGGACCTACGGAAACAAAATAGAAAGTGCATGAGAAATTTATAACTCTTTCTGTTTAACTATAAACATTCTCACGATCAAACCGTGCATAGTTTACACTTACAGGTAAAATTTGTCATATTGTTGTCATTTGATCACCACCTTTAACCCCACACCTGCTAAAACAATTGGTCACCTGACAAATTTTCCCACCACAAAATGTATAAAAGTCATCCTCCTTCCCCTCTCGGGGGAGTCGGCAATCGAACGGACAATGACAAAGACGGGCCATATCTTCCCCTCATACCTACTGTACGCCCTTAATTGGAAGACCTTGTGCCACACCGAGACCTGCTTTTCGAAACCTTTAAGTCAGAAGTATCCATCCGATATTATCCCAGAGGTATGAAATATTATTGTAAACTCTCTCTCTCATCCGCAAAGTCTAAGGAGTTTTATAAGATTTTATTTAGTTAGTTAGGTTAATAAACTCTTGTTTTTATTTTTTTAAATGGTGTCGTTACTCGACTTTGCCAACGTCTTATCGTCGACCCCTCCGACTCTCCTCCACTCGCGTAACGCGTAACTGAATGAAATGCCATCCTTGACAAGAAAGTAGGTCACAGACTTCCCCAGCACTCACAAATTGGTGTCATGGGAGTGGGGTTTGAATCTAAAAATCCCTATAAACATCACAAAAGATTAAAGATAATTGACAAACTTTCTTACCTGTAGCATAAGAAGCACTGGTCGGACCCGAACATATCTCTTCGTCGGATTCGGACGCTTCACCCGAAACTACAATTCCTTGTAAAAAGAGTGGCGTCTGAAAAATACAATAAAATCCTCTAAAATTAATTAGAATTAGGAATAAGTGGAAAATTTGAACAATTATTATATTTTTCCTATCATGTTATGCACGCAACACACTATTCATAAGCAACCAAGTTTCACTCCTTACCACTATGAGGGAGTACAAACTGCTGGATATAGAAGATGCGAAGGTCAACCCATTTACTTTTGCCTCATTAAAGAATTAGGCAAATATAGCCAAAGAGTGGTAAGCTATATTCATTCAGCAGAGACTTCTTTCATGATAAGTTTTGGGTTAAGAACCTGCCGTGAGTAAACAAGAAAGTGCAGTCAGAATAATTACAGAATTCACTTTCTTGTTGTACTAATTCATCAAATATTTGATGTTTTCTCTCCATTTAACTTGTGTACAAAGCATATTTTTACAAAAAGTATAAGACAGGGGTAGCCAACCTGCGGCTCGCGAGCCACATGCGGCTCTTTGAAGGATTATTTGTGGCTCTTGATAAATGTACCCGAGTTCCCTTTTCATTTTTGTGTTATTATATTTTTAAAAAACTATTAGCGTTCCGTATGTGTTTCAAAATGTCTTTTAAATTACTAACAACAAATATGAAAGACTAAGTGCAACGTTGTAACAAATTTCATTTTCGTCCAAGAATGATATGACTCATCGAAAACTGCGCGAACGAACATAAACAGTGGCGTAATCGTCCGTTATCGACCGACTCCAGACCAATTTTGAATTTGTAAACTGTCATTGCAATGGACAGTTGACATTGTGCTCTGGAGGAAACAATTTGTACAGTATCACTCTTGCTACGGATATAATTTGTAATCTGGAATTTTTTGCATACCTTTTTAATACGTATTTAATTGCGGCTCGTGAAAAATTTCAAATTTTGAAAAATGGCTCGGACTATCAAGGAGCTTGGCCACCCCGGGTATAAGATATTGAGACTATGTCTCATTTACAGTATGCAAATGAGACATAGTGTGTTTCATAATATCCCACTATGTTCAGAAATGAGAAATTCAGTAAAGCTTGCCACTGAAGCAAGCAATTAATAACTTTAAACAAAGTTGCATGTGGAGGGTTTTGTTTTCTGTATTCTCAAAGTGTCTACAGGGTTCAGCATTGTATAATGGATTCTGAATAAGAAAATAAATAGCTCAATAAATACTCATTTTATGATTGCTTATCATTACTGCTGACTGAGCACAAATGAGTGTGAGCACAAGTATAGAACAGGGATTTTCAAATGTAGACATATGGCCAGCAGGGAGGTTTTCATCTGTGAATTATTATTAAAATACCAGTCATTTTGAAGAGTTTTTGACCAAATAAACAGTTTTAAGTTATGTAATTACAAATTATAAATTTTCCTAAAATTTAAAGCAATTAGACTAAATTGAATCAATGGTTTAAAGTAATGAAACACAAATAATTGATTTGTTAAGGAGAACGCCTCTTGAAACGACTTAGTCCGTAATTAAGTAGATACATGAAGAAGAATTGTAGATACATGAAGAAGAATTGTAAAACTCCACACGGTCAGGGATGAGCCCACAATCAACTATTTGGCAGTTTCATCCACTCAGCCGGTGATGAGCTAAAATAATTTGAATATTTTAGTAATAAGTATATATTTTTTTATGTTAAGTGTAGTTGATGCACATTCAACTTCATCAGTGAGCCCATATGTTTAAAATTTACTATTTTATTATTGATAATTAAATGTAGATTGGCAGATAAGTCACTCTAGATTAGTATTTTTCAACAATTTCCGTCATAAGAAAATGAAAAATTTCTTCACTTCAGCCTAAAGTATTACTATACTCAGTAATATAGAAACAAAGTTATTTAAGTATTTAAGTTAGCAAGATAGAAAAGAAACCATTCATTTAAACTCACCAGACTCAAACCTTTAATTCTGAATTTAATATAGCAATAATTTGATCCAAAACATGGAACACAATTTTTCAAATCTACAACACCAACAAACTATGCAAATTCCACTAGACAAACGTAGTTCTAATCAAAGCAATAGAGACTTATCACTGCCATAGACCAAGCCCTTAGGAGTAAAAACATCAAAGGAACCAAGGTTGATGCAATGCCTTAGCAAAGTCAGCCTATCTGGAATACCAAAATCTTCCAGAATGGGATAAAGTGCAAAGTGCAAAAATCCAGAACTACTTCTGAAAACAATGTTAAAAATCGACCATTTTCTACTTTAATAAAGACAAACAACAGCTCACAAAACACGAGAAATTCCATTGCACTGACTACTTCTAGCATCTATCTACGGTATATACTATGTACTACACCACTACATTTGGTGAAAGAATGCATTTTTTTTCCTTTTTCATTCATTTTAATTTATTAGGTACAGTATTATGTACATTTCCTGGCCCAATGAAAGAACTCAGACAGACCGTCGGTTTTTTCGACTTTTTTACTTCCAAGGGCAAGTCTATGGCTCTGACAAGGTCCCAACAGCTCGGTCTAGTTCCGCATTTACACAAGAAAGATACGGCACCGTAAAAACGTATATTTTCAACAAAAACAATTTAAAACTTAAGTCGTACGACGTACGACACCACTAATTAACGGTGCATAATCGATAAAAATTCATTTTAACATTTCAGAGCACAAAATAATTCCTTTTGGTACAATTACACTTCTGGACGAGACGGTCGGGACCTTACCAGAGCCGTAGACCACACCAAAAGCAGCAAAAAAGTCAAAAAAACCACATCTCTATATCAAGATGTAGCCTCCAAAGTAATGTCACTTCACTAAGACTATTGCATTTAACTATCTAGGCCACACAACTATTTCGGCTCTTTATTGTCGGCGGAGTACTGGACATTATATAGTTTTAGAGGGGAAGGGTGCTCGCTCCACATGCGCGACATCAGTCAAGGCAAGCCTCAGACTCGGAGCGCAGAGAATAGGTCGTACCAACGCGTGGTAAAAACCGACCTTCAAAGGCAACGGCACGTTCTAGCAAAGGATCGTACATACAAATACGGTTCCTTTGACGGTTTTATTCATACACGGGGGGGTCTACAAGTCTCGGGGAGTGTAATTTCATCACGTGGAGTTGACATCTTATCCATTTTTTTTCTCTTTAACTTCAGTTCCATAAAGAAGTTAACAAACGACCAACTAATGCATTTTTTATAGTCATTGGCCATAATTATCTTGTGATGGAGACGTAATCATCCCGACCCACTTTCATAAATGATATTGCCTGGAATCAATCCCAAATAAGACATTTTTACGCCTTTACCGTCAATTTTCTTCTTTATTACTTGTTACAGAAGCCTTTTAAGGCCATTATTTAACTGAACTGACCTTTCTCATGTCGGGAGGAGACATAAAATGCGATACTTCCACATCTTCGTCCGATTCGTACGCCTCTCCGGGAATTACCTGAGCATTTCCCTTGGCTTTTGCCATTTCTAATTGATGAGAACACTTGATAAGTTCATTCCTCTCCACCATTTAATTAAAAATAAATCACACGATCGATCAACCACACTGCCGCCATCTTTTTTCCCTTACCGTGCCCTCTGGCGATTAAATATGGCAATACCTTAATTATTTTTTTAATTTCGGAAAATGTAAAATTCATTCGTCTGCTCGAAATATTTATTTGTTATTTTTTCGGAAATTAAGTAATCGTTTCTCTTAATAATTCAATTAAAATTCGCAGATTCTCCGATTATTTATTCGGCGGCCATTTTTTCATTGTGACGTTAAAGATGTATTTTCCGTGTAAAACAAGTAAAATTCATTTATTCGTGTGTGATCAATTTAATCGGATGATTCGGCGCTCCGATATGAAGAAGAATTCCATTTATGTCGACTTTATTTATTTTAACGATAGTAAATTAACTTATTTTCGAGTAAAATAACACCGATTTGCCTATAAACATGGCCGACTTGCCTTTAAATATGGCGGTAATGATTTATACACATTTTTAATTATTGCTTCGATTGATTGCCGCAAGTATTAGCGTTACGTTAAAGTATGCATGTTCCTTTATTCTACCTTTATTAAAATCCTTGTTACTCCTATATTAATTGTTAAAATCATTCCCCTTTTCACATATACCCCATTGCGGATCGCGACAGTCGTAATGCTCGTAACAGTTGGCGATCTTATAGCGGTAATGGGCTAATGTTCGCGTAACTACTAAATTACTTTTTCAGTAACAAATCTGTTACGACATATATTATGGTACACTTGACTTACGGCTTATATTCCTTTGCATCCTTCCTTACTAAAGTCTAAGCTTTTTCTGTATCCATAATGGATTTGACCAAGTTCACGTGGGGCAGACGAATGGGGCAAATCTTTCTATTACTAAATTAAAAGCTTTCAATTGGTCCGTGCCACCGAATCTAAGAATTTGTTAAGATTATTTTTAGTTTCGATTCTGTACAACAGATGGCGTAAAAGATTGCCTTTAGCATCGCCATTTTCATAATATTTTTTTCCTTTTATTAATTTTTATGTGTTAATAATAAGGTAATAAAATATCTTTTAATTTATAAAATAACATAAATTTTTTAAAATTTGTTTCTTGAAACACCTGCGTTTATATCATTCCTTTAAACGCGGAGTAGATTATACAGTACCAGCTGACCCCCCTATAACACTGTTAATTTTTCCGTTTTATATGAATTCCATGTTGTATGAGTCACTTATATTTTACAAATACGTGAGCCATTCACAGCCGGCACACGTATTTGTAAAATCTAAGTGACTCGTACAACATGGAATTCATATAAAACGGAAAAATTAAGTGTTATAGGGGGTCGACTGTATTACAAATTGTCACAACGATAGCTGGATCAAATTTTAATTACTGTTGCAGATACATGTCAATAGGTATTAAACTGTTTAAGTATTAAATTTATTGATTTATTTTAAGATTATAGTACCTTGCGGGTGTTCCTGAACTGTATGTAGAGCAATAACAGTTCAACATTTTATTCTATAAGCAAACTTTCCATAAAAATAAATAGAATAGACGTGGAAAGATAACCAGAACACCTCATAATCACACGTGATATTCTGTTAAATTTATTATTTTAAATCGTTAACTATGTTTAGTTTGTTTTATAACAGGTAAATTTATTTAACAGTAGAAAAAAATAACTTACATTTGAGTTCTTCGAGAGCAGCGACAGTTATCGATCATAAAATTGTTGTAAGGCTTGAAGCATGTTCGACGTAAACGTTAAACACATCAAGAGCCCATTGAAAATTTAATATATTTAAAAGTCGATTCTTCGGTTTACATAATTGATTTTTTAAAATAAACTAGCCAGTGTTGTACATTAAACACTTTTTAGTGTTGTTGTTCATCTGTATTTAATAATTTTAAATTAAATTATTTTGTGATATAGTTAAAAATAAAATGCAGAATCACTGTCAAAGGTTGTGATGATTCAGAAGCCTTTATGCAGTGTTATATTATGCAATAAGCGAGAGTGATGGTTGAATTGTTAGTCTGTTGCCAATTTTCTAGCCTAAACATCCAGAACATGTGTGGACAAGTGTCTCGTAACATTAATTTAGTCGCAGTCTCAAATATATTTATTTGAAAGTTTCAAAAACTAGGCCAATTGGCAACTGCAACTAAAGAACGTGTAATTATCATAATTCGTACAGATGGAGGCCACATTGGACGACACCAGACATCAATGATTTATTATATCCTTCATAATTAACTGTGTATAATATCGTGTGACACGTTTTACTAACGCTTGCAGAATTTTTGTATTTCCAAACGATAAAATTAGAGGTCAAGATTAATTCGAAAGCATTGTCACGTGATTAAAGTGTAAAATTCGGTCACGCGATCGATTACGACAGATACGAAATGATGTTCCTTTACACGTTTCTTTTTAATAAATAAATAAATATTGATTTATTTATAGGTAACCTCATTAAGCCGCATTAATAATTAAATGTCATTAACGCATCGTTTACGAAGTTTTAATTAATTTAATTTCATCGACATCAAATTAACAAAAAAAAACGACGAGTTTGATTGGACGACGATCGACAAAACCGTTTTTTTTTAATTTCAAATCGACCAATCATTATCATTTCTTGTAATTGATTTAAATTAACGTGTGTCGTTTGTAAACGAGATGTATTGTTAATTAAAGGGTAATTGATAAATTAGTTGATTTATAATTTAAATTTTGAAAGTGATTAACACGTAACTAACGAGTAAAACGTAATTAAATAAAATTGTTTGCTTTTCCAAAAGCTACAAAGTGAAAGTTATTGAGTGCAATAAAAGTACGGTTTTAGACACTTTTACCTCTTGGTTTACTCGATCCTCTTGTTTACAGAAATTGAATCCTCGGCTATTTTCCAAACACACGATTGTTTAATGTCACTATTGTTAACTGAAGAATTTTTATAGTGATTTTTAGAATGAAAATAAACACTCTTTTTTTTATCTATTTTTCAAAAGTGAAAGTGGGAAATTAATTTTAAAACTCTCATTACTCTGAAGTTGTGCCAATAAAATAGCTAAGTTTAAGGGGAGAGGGATTTAAAAATGTGCCAGGATGTTTGCTATTTTCAAATTTAAAAATTGCTCCTTAGTTTTGTTACTTTTTTTTTTTCTCTCGCTTCCGAAGATCCTGTTACGTTTCCTCATATTTTAAAGTGTTATTAAGTAACTAACTTTTAAAATAACTTCTAAAAATACATACAAGTCGACCCTCCTATAAGACTGTTGATTATTCCGTTTTATATGAATTCCATGTTGTACGAGTCACTTAGATTTTACAAATATGTGTGCCGGGCTGTGAAAGGCTCACCTATTTGTAAAATCTAAGTGACTCGTACAAGATGGAATTCATATAAAACGGAATAATCAACAGTCTTATAGGGGGGTCGACTGGCTACGGAATAACGTAATAAATTGTATAATTAAGTAAAAATTACTCTAATTGAGCTTAAGAACCTAAAAAAATCAAATTATAAACTGTGAATTAATAAGTAAGAGGAGTGTAACTGAATGACATTAATCATAAATATTCTTTAATTGTAATTAGAATAATTTAATGAAGGTATAAAAAAATTAAATTTAATATGAAACTCGTTTCAGAAACGATTTATTAATATTGAATTATGTTAAGAAATTATTTATAGTAATGGAGTAAGTATGTCGATCACTCTTTAAAATTACAAAGTTTAAATTTAGCCACAGACTTTATATTTTTTTGAAAAACTGCCAATAACAGGAGGTGTTACATTTTAACCTATTCCCAATTGAAATGCTATTTAGTAAGTAAGCGTAGAACTTAATTTATTAATAAGGCTTTTATTTAACATTAGCGTCAGTATAGCCATAGGACTACACATTGTTACACACGTGTTACAGGTAGCACCGTTTTGACGTAATCGATTTTCCTTTACAATTAAAAGACTACACACATACACTGTAAACTATACAGTACATAAAGAATAAAAAAAGCACACATTTTCTGTTAGAAGTAAATATATTTTTTTTATACAGTTAGCAATAAACGCGTAAAATACCGATTGGAACATGTTAATTTCATTAGCCGCTCCGCCATTTTTTTTATTTGGCATGTTAGTCATGCATGGTATGTAATTGCACTTAACATCCTGCCATTGAATAACACTTCGAAGCAATTATTTGTCATAGTAGCGTTAGAAAGCAATATATATATACAGTATATATTGTTTTCCTATATAGAGAAATGTTAATTTTTGTTGATTTAGCCCTGAGACTTGACTAGATTTTTTGATTGTTCTAATTTAGGACGGGCAGACTTACAAATAAAACCACTTTTTATGTGTAAAAATTAAATTTTTTTCCCTTGTGATCTCTAAGAGATATACGATATGTGAACTACATAAATAGTTATGCAATTAAATGAAAAATAGTGATATGTATTAGCAAGGCGACAATATATATGTATGAAAAGGATAGGCTCTATATTCTAGAAGGCATTAATTGCATTTCTTAGAATGGAATTATCAGAAAAACTGGAGTATTTTATTAATTTACGTGGATAGACATCCAGACATGTCTGACTCCTCTACTTTTAAGTATAATCCTGTAATTATAGCCCTAATATAGGTTATAATAGGATTTTTACAGATACCAGAGCTTAAATTAGACTCCTGGCCTTCTGGTTTTCAAGAAGCAATGCTCTTGAGATCTTCAGATTTTCCCACCCTTGAACTGTCCCACGAGATATCAACTATATAAAGCAGACATTATAAAAGTTGTTCCCAAAAATATGGCATTTCAAATGTTTTTTTTTTTTTCTCCAACAAATAATCATTTTTCCAAAGTACGAATATTTATTATTTCGTTACCTGTTTTACATTGTTTCGTCCGCACCAACAGACAGACATTAGAGCATGTTGACGCACTTAAACAGCATAAAATATTGGGAAATTATTGGGTAAAAAGATCGAGAAAGATGGACAGAAGGTAATTTGAATAAGTGGCTTAGAGATCATTCTGAAGCTATTCCGCCATAGATAATAAAGGAAGAGGAAGTGGAGGATGCCTGTCATAGAGTCGATTATCATAGCACCTTTCGAATTCAGTGAAAGACGAAAAATTAGGAAAAATTCCAGTAATATAAGTTAAATTTCATATTGGTACAGTTATCAAAGGCTACTAACTGACTCCTAGACTTGGCGCAGTTTTGGGCCCAAAAAGGATCCAGGATCCTTACATGAGTCTTTGTTTAGCGCATTCGGGACACAATATGTCTGATCCATCTGTGATAAAGCCTTTGCCAACCAGAGAAGAGTGGCACATAGCGCAGATGAAGCAATCGTTGTGCCAGTTTCGATCTTCAAACGAAATGAATCTAGTTCCTCCGATGCCTGTTCGGATAAATAGAGGTGTGAGGATGCGAATCCAAGTGTTGCCGCTCCATAATACAAAAGGGAGGACTTACCTGTGATTGGTTTACTACAAGAAGTGCATCTCTTGGCGAATAAGTCAGCAAAACAGTTGGCACAATAAGGCTTGTCCTCTCGAGATGTGAAACGCTGTCCTGCAAGTGAGGTAGAACAGTTAGCGCAACTGAAGCATTCACGATGCCACGGTTCGTTGCGGTAAGTCACACCTCCGCTGGTAATAATCTGGCAAAGAAAGTCAAATTTAAATTCTTTCCTAAACTTTACCCTGCTAAATACAAGAAATCTTCATACCTGGTTGCACTTAATGCATCGTGTAGCAAACTTCTCTTCGTAGCAGGTAGTACAGTATATATCAGTCTCTCGTGGGATAAAACTTCGTGTGCCAATTGGATTCTTGCAAACGCAGCAACAAAAACATTGGTCATGCCATTGACGGCCTTTGTATTCCATCTTTTTGGTTCCTGTTAAGAAGAATTCATTACGGTAAAGCACAGTCATGGATTACGCTTAAAACACAGTATATTTAACACGTACCTGCTCGAAAGACATCTCCACATCCATCACAGCGAGTGGCAAATGCTGCATCGTAGCAATTAGCGCAATAAACTTTTTCAGTTTTTGATCCAAAGGGTTTGTCAACGAGTGAAACACGGCATTTATTGCACAGGAAGCATGATTCGTGCCAGTGTTTCTCCTTATATGATAAATCCTACACAGATTATAAAGATAGAAGCATTACTAAAAACCGCTTTGTCTTTAACACGAACTGAAGGGGTGAAGTATCAAATTTAATTCTTCTCCCCTCCCGTTCCCGAGCTCTTACACGCTAAATATAGTATAACTATATTAATTTCGAATCTGCATAGTTAAAATGTTAATTAACACGTTCATTTAGCATACGTATAGTAACTTAAATACTCTAAAATAAACTTTTCTCGTATCTTCGGAAGGTATTTTTGAAAATAGAACACAATAAAATTATTGAAATCGCTTGATATCATTTCTATAAGTCTCCATAAATGGAAGCTATTTCCTGTCACGTCCGTATCATGACGTCATTAGATAGCTATCGTGACGTGGGAGTAAAGAAGGCTTCTATGTTTTCACTTATTAGAGTTCTGCTACTTCGGAACTCTGCAGGAATTTCAATTTTCTATTGCCTTACTTCGATCGAAAAGATGGGGCGTGTTCGATTCCTATTAAGAATTTGCACATTTTACGTTACTATTATTATTTTGAAGCCGTTTCAGAGGCATATTTGTGTCTAGTCGCGACACGTTCTATATATAGCCGGGATCGTTTACTATCCGTGCCAAATATAGTGATGTCGGCAGACCTCGTCACATTCCCAGTCATTGGTTAGGGACGTTACACGTGATTTAATCACACAATACGGTAATTACGCTAGAATTACAATAGAAAAACGATCGATACCTTGGAGTCGATTCCGATCACTTTGCTGCATTCTTCGCAAGTGTTGGAGAACACTTGTTCGTAACACCGCACGCAGTAGGGGTGTTCGTCTCTCAGCACGTAGCGTTGTCCTGTCAACGTGTCGTCGCATTGCCAGCAACAGAAGTGACCGGTGTGCCAATCCTTGGACATGGCTTTCGTATATTCGCCAGAGAATATGAGCTAAAATAAAACAATAAAAAAAATCAGTTACGACAGTTCATTCATTTACTGATATGTAAATGGAACGTCTAGCTCAGCAACCTTGAATGATAGAAAAGGAAGATCAGCATTTCTGACACCCATCTATTCATTGTGTTGAATGAATCAAAGACATTCGGCGCTATCTAATTAATTAAAAGATCACAGCCCGATTGTTCCCTTTGAGATTAAAGCCCTCTAAGAAATTCGGCTGGTTAGCGACACTTGGTATAGACTAAAAGGTAATTTCTACAGAAGAATGATTTTACCTCGTTTCTTTCTTCTGCATTTTGCAGTTGTGAATCTCTTCTGGATTCGTCGACATCGACTTCGACTTGAACTTTAGTCTTCTTCTTCACTTTCTTAACCTTCTTAACCTCAGTCGTGGTTACCTCTTCAGACATGTCGATACCGAACCGTTCCCAAACACAGACTGTCTCAAACCATGAGAAAATGAGGTAGGGGTGGAAAGGTAGATTTTGATTTTCCCGTCGTTCCTTGCAGTTCCCACCCTATTACTCCTCCTTATCCCTACGACAGGAATAACAATTTAGTAACGGGTGCAAAACACCCATGGACGTGACTACACGTGCCCTGTCTAAGTTTTCAAATAGCGGGCAACCCGGCACCAACCATAAATGGAAAGTATGAGGAAGGATAGCGCAGAAGCTGAAATAAAAGTGAAACGTCACAAAAAGGGAAGATTCCAGACAGAAACCGAGAGAGGTTTCCAATCTGCTAGAGTGCGTAATCCACCATACGTCGGCAGTTTTACGAGCGAATCGTTATTACTCTCATCTCGCCGCTAATAGAGAAACACGTCTAACTTGTGACGTTTACGATACGTCAGAGCTTTCGATAGTGCAACTTGCCAAATTAGCCATTTGTTTCATCGATCCCGTAAATATGTATAAATCCCGCTGATTTCATTCTTATTTATATCTTTCAATCGCTACTTCGGGTGATTCATTACTACTATAAATATTTATTTAAGCGGAAGATGGGAGATACAGACAGGTGAGTCCAAAAATAAAACACTGGATGGAAAATGCCAGGGAGCGAGACAGTTATGAGGCATAATGTGCAATTTTCTGCAGGAATTTTTGGACAGATCTAAGAGTGAGTCAGATAATTCGTCATAGAGCACGAAGGCACGCGTGCCAACCATTAACAATTCGGCGACGAAAGAATGCCGAGAAGGGAATGACCTCTTGGATAGGTGCAGCATCCAGTCCCTTCGGAAGTGACCTGTTATTGTCTGTGTTTAGAGCGTGATGCGCGAATGAAAGGATGTGACCTGGATTCGGTGTCTGCTAACTCGACAGTATTACAAAACACACATAATAGCATCATTAGACACTCCCGAGTGACAAATCGCACGCGACTTCTTTTTAGTACCTTCGACTTGCAGTGGGGCCCTTTTGATCAAATATTGTACCCTTTGATCGGCGTGCATCTTTCTTATCGCTCTGCGGAGCTGTCATTCTTCCAAATTCATTTCTAATTAAAGATACGTCCTAGTTTTGTTTACGAGAATAATTTTTCTTATGACCCCTTTCTAAACACGAAAGAGTTAGAATAGGTTTTGGTAAAATAATCCCTTTTTTCCCACACTTTTTCACGGATATCCGATCTGTCGTCTCTAACGTCGCGACAAGGTTGCTGAGTCAGTACTTCCTCTAGCGTAGGAAGGAAGAATAGCGCTGACGACGCGCCTCACCCTCCCCAAATACACCGCACGCTTACACACACACACAAGCGCGCGCGCTCGATAACCGACGATAGAGGGCCGAAACTCGATAACACGCATGTACGTAACACACCGCATTACTACACTAAACTGAACACTTACCTGCAAGCGACAAACCTGTGCAACATGTGTGTAAGTGGACACACACGCTCCACCTTAGACGGACAGATAGCCAACGACGACGTCACTAAACAACTAGCCAATCGCCGGCACGACGATCAAGGCCAATTGTTGGACGTGAGGCGATGTCCTACATCGCCCGCCCCCACGTGATTTATCTGGCAATTTATATCCATTTGCATCGAGAAAAAAGGGTGTTTGATACGTTCTGAATAAAACAAATCACTCCTAAATTCATCTATCATCAGAAATCGACATAAAATACGCTTTGGGAATATAATAAACCAATCATTTTCTAATTCATTTCAACTCGATCAATTAAAACACAAGAATCATTAAAGGGATATTTGTCTCTTCCCGAAAACAATTTCGAAATTTATACACCAGATGTCATCATAAATCGCCCTGATGGTAAAGGCTGCCAGATATTTTCAAGAATTGGGTTTTTACGGTACGAGGTTAACCATATCTTGCCCATTTTTTAATGCTAATTATGGAAGCGTTCCAAAAGAAATAGAAATAAATAAATAGGAAATATTCAAATTGATTAGTCCCAATTTGTTACAATGACGTCAAAAATAGCTCTAAGACGGTCCATTCACGTTCGCCAAACTAACAGCCAATTTGTTCAGTTTCCTAATTGAGAGGTGTTTGAAGTGTCGACGTCATTAATAATCTACCCTGTTGCCGCCATCTACCGGATGAAAATGTAACTGATAAAATTTAATACCAGCAATTATTGTATCTTGTAACACATTTCTCTTCACACGTGATTATTTTGTTATTAAATTTGTTTATTCGGCAGTGTAAGGGGTATTAAATATGGAAAATATTCAAAACTTACTCCAGTTCTATTGTTTGTTAAATTATGACAAAGTTTATTTCTAGATAATTGATTTTTTAATGTCTTCCAGAGGAAGAGTGCCACTCTAGCAAATCACTTCCCAACCTTTCAGAGTATTAAAAGAATGCGATATTCTTAGAATCCCCGTCAGAGATCACGATCTACCGGTTGAGAAGATTACTTCTATACTCGTTTTTCTAAAACTGGGACACGCCTTAACGGAAATACTTTCGAAAATATTTACATTTAACACTTACGAGGCTGAGGATGATTAATTAAGTTATAAAAGCATCACTTTTCTTTGTTTATTTTTTTGCTTTCGAGTGTCGTAAAGTAAACTCTTTATAGTGTTTACTCAGGAGAATTTTACTTACTTCATCGCAGGCGGAACATCTAGGCTTTAGTTGTTCGGCATAATGCCTCTCACAGAACAATTTCCCGTCCTTGACGCAATAAGTAAGGTCCACTAACAATTCATCGCACGTGGTACATACGAAACAGGCCGGGTGCCACGCGATCCTTTCGCCAAATTTCGGTGCAATGACGGCTACTTCACCAACCGGCATAACTCCTCGGCACTTATGGCATTCCTGAAAGATATCAGCCCTCGTTGGTCAGTTGTCACTTGATTACGTAATCCAAAACCCAATCCAAATGGGTTTTACTTACTAACGTGTAATCCAAAGCTTCTCTGACGTAGCCGATATCGAGTGCTATTTCGTTTCTGGCATTGACAAAATCCTCGAAATTCCTATGATACTCACTTTCAAGAAATTTGCAATAAGCTAGAGCCAAGTCCTGCTTGGGTAGCTGAATGATTAATTGCTTTTCGCGATATTTTTCACCAGGCGTACCTAACCGGGGTACTTTGTGGTTGGGTAACTGGGCAAAGTACTCTTCTATCTGAAAATGAAAAAAAAAGAAACAATTTCATAGCTCAACTTCATTATAATTAAATTATGCATTTAAAACTCAAACAATTTATATAATTAACTAATCATAATTATCCCCTGATACACCCTTGCAAACTGTCAACTAGTTTATTTGCATTTTGGAGCACCTAGGAATATTCTTGATGACTTTTCCCGTTGAACCGTTAATAGACTACGTAATAATTAAATGAGGGTGCCAAATTTCTAATTCTACTTCCTGGTTAAAAGTATAAAACTCATTTAGAATAAATGACCAGTTAGACTCTCCAACCTCCAAGCACACCGTATTAAAATGATATTATGTTGGAGCTCTTTATCTACTGGTTGAGAAGTCCTACTTTAGTCGTACGAGGAAAGTTGATACTAATGAATATGTAAACCGATACTTTAATTTTAGTATTGGAGTGTAAAATTTGAAAATTATGTACATAAACTTTCACATTATTGGCTATATATATATATCGCATTTCACAGCATGTACAACCTGGTGTGACCTCTAAAAAAATTATTAAAATAGAAGTAAAAGGATCAAAATAACTTTAAATTTTAAATAAATTTAGATATTTATGCTTATAAATATATAAAAATACTATATAAAAGTACGTTACAGCCAACTTTAATTTTTATGAGTCTATAGAAATTTATGTTTACCTTCCGGTTCAGTATTAAAATATGCAAAAAATGTAATACGTATAGAAGTTTTATTCAATAAAACTATTAAAATCTTGATTTATATTAATCCAACATTAAACTTTTACATATTAAACCTTATATAATGCGCACCCTTCATTTAATGAGGTTAATATCGTTAGTTAATACAGAACTAACGATCCCAGTTCTATAAATATTAATAAATAACAGGTTATAAGTTTTAACATCTAGAATTAAACAGATTAAATTGGTGTAGATGGGAATAACCTAAGAATGACCCTCCCCAACTCGAAGTCAACTTATTACTGTCAGAAGCATCTTATAAACGATCACTTACATCTGCCTCACTTCTTCACTTTCACTAATGACGTAGCTAGTCAAAGTTATGTCCTACCTTGTCAGTAGACAAACCAGGTGGTACCCACGAGTGCCCATTTTCGGTGTTCTCCTTAAGGGGCGACTTCAGAACGTCGACTGCCGTTTTCAAACCGATCCTATCACGAACGTTGATCAGGTCTTCGCTATATACATCGTGACATTCGCGTGGACATTTGCAGTGGTTGCACACCTTCCTGAAGGGCAAACACAAGTAGAAATTTTAATTAATAAATAATCAATAGGGAGATTAAGCAGCAAGTAACGCTTTTTTACCGTTTAACAGCCATTTGGGGTGGATATACTGTACTTTATCTTTCTACAACTAACGACGTCATTAACAACCATCCGGGTTTTATCAATGTGGGGCTGTTTATTCTTTACTGAATTTAGATACTAAAGAGGGGGGAGAAGCTTCTCTAAGGCTCGGTTCACACCGCAACTGACGCGTGGGTAATTTACGATCATATTTTTCACCTTCGAATTTCCCCAATTACTGTCGTTTATTGTCAAAAAGACGAAGCAAAATAATAATAAATTTTACTCATAAGATTTTCTACATATAAGATTTTTATTACTAAAAAATACTAATAATAATAAAAAAGTAAACTCGTAGCTATAAGGCTTTTAGTTCCGAAACCACCCGCTAAGTGTCGCTCGGTGGTTCCGCCAGATCCTGTCAATTAGCTTTTACCTCCGAGCGCCCCGCCAAGAGGAGAAGCGCTCTTCTGCTGCTGATGTCTGACCTTGACCTTTTATGACCTTTCGGGTCACTACGTAGAACGAATATAGGTCAATCAACGTTGATGGCCGTTGCGTGCGACAGCGCTGACGTTATAACGTGCCACGTCCCATAGAGCGGAAATGACTAGCGACTGCAGAATGTTAACCGAAATGACAATTTCCGCACGGACCGATGAGTATGGATGTCGTCCGAAATGAAGATGGCGAATAATAACTCGTGACCTTCAGAATCCATCTCATTAGCACCTGATTATCTTCCTGCTGCTCCACCCTTTTAGATAAAGGCTTGGTCATTAAGAACATCGCTTCCGTTTCAATAAAGGCTGGCAGCTCTTCGGAGGTCCTAAATTTTCTAAACGCCATCTACGGGGCAAAACGGAAACCAACCGAAGGGGATTGCGCGCAGTCTTCAGGAAGCGACCTCGTTTTCCGGAATGACACATAAGAGAGAGTTTGAAAGGAGGATGTTTGTGTTTAGCCCCTTAAACATATTAACTTTTTTAACATTTGGATGGGCACGGGTTCACACCCTGCCATATTTCTTTGCAGAGTCAACCAGCCAGAACGTTTTTCCCTTTCTGAGTGTAAGTTGCCCGAAATCTCGTGCAACGCGTGGGGACCCATAAGACAACTGACTTATAAAAAGGTACTTACGGGTTGGATTTACGTATTCGCCCGCTTGTTGACTTGACGGCCATGTTAATGATACGACGCACCCACCTGGACAACTAGATGGAGATGCTGGCAGGCGAATCAACTACTTAAAATAAACATTCGGCATGCCACAGAGTGCCATGACATGGGTACGTCGTTTCTTCAACGGCGCCCTATTAACTTGTCACCTGGCGGCAGAACAACTAGACGCTTTTTTCGCACCAACAAAAGTTGTGACGTCAGTACGCCTAACCAATCGGCGAATGTGTTGATGTGTGAAAGTTCAAACGCTTCGTACGCCATACTTTTTGCTTATTTTCTGCTGCGTTTTAAGATTTTTATGATTCGAAATATTATTCTTACCTCCATAAATGAGGGCTAAAACCCGGACATTTCTCTTTGCAATTTCCGCATGGTTGTCCCTCTTCCACTTCTTGCACCAAAACCCCCTGAAAGTAAAGAGAGCAACACGCGTCAACCTTCTCACTCTTAAAATTACGTAAATTGTAAATCCATGCCTCTTCTATAACACTTTAAAAAGGCTTTAATCCCTAATTCCGTGTAGTTAAAAACTAAAAACACGTGCTTTTAAAATATAAAAATCATATTTTCGGAGGTAAATTAACTTAAAAAAACAATTTCTAAACTTAATTTATTATCTAGAAACAAAATGAAAGTTAAAATTCATTAAGCTTTATTAGCTTTCTATTTTTAATACTACCAACCAGGATTTTAATGAATATCGATTTTGCCAAGTAGCTTCTTACTTCAGGCAAACTTTATGCACTTATAAATGTAAGGAATTAGCATGAAAGGTAAAGATAATATATAGACTTTCACATAAATTGCGCTTTTGGTACCAGTAGTAACTAAACTTCTGCTTTACTAGTAAACTAGAAAACTCTGTTTTACTAAATAACAGAAGGATAACTACCGTTATTACTGTATACTAAGTAAACTATACTCAGTAACTACTGTACTAAACCTTAAGGGAGTAATTGCTATAAATGATAATTACTCGACAACAACTTAGGTACAGTTTGCTCATGGAGATTGGTATTGCACTCCTATTATTCCCTGCACAATCACAATATTTTACTGAACAACATAATTAGCATGTCAACTTCCTCGAATTGTGACTTCCAAAACAACCAATTAGCTGCCAGAAATATTCAAATTTCAAAAATAACACAGTCATAACGTTAGTTAAATTTTAAATATAAGCAATGATGTGTCAGGAAATTTAATTTAAAATTTAAAAAATTGCTAGCAAGCAAAACAACAATATAACGCAGTTAAATAGTTTTTAAAGTAGCATATAATTAGTCAATTAAATTAATTAATTATGCTACGTAAATTATAAAAAAAAAATTCAATTATAAAATACGCATAAAAATTCAAATTTAAATTAACCAATGACGTGTCGACAAATTTTCGATCCCGGGATAACAATAGCGTTTACAAATTCAAATTTTAAATTAACGAATAAGCGTGACGTAATTTGAAATTGAAATTTTAAACTGATCAATCGTAACGAAGTATATTAAATTAGTGTATCGCCATCTAGTGACTCGATTTTAAATCATAAGTATAAATTATAAATTAAGCATTATTTAGGAACCTATTTTAAAAAATATATTTATTTATATGTTTATATAATTTACAGCACGTGTAGCAAGTCATCAGATAGTGTATTCCACGCACGGGTGATATATGAGTTGGCATGAGCTACTATAGGATAAGATCACAGCGCGTAGCACCACAGGATTTTCATTATTTCTGCAATAGATGGCAGCATACGTAATTAAGAGGGAGATCTTCGACTTGGATCCAATCCAAAGATAACCAGGAAGGAGGGACGGGGAGAGACATATTTTTTGCCATTTTAACGGAGAAAAAAATCGAATAATTTCAAGAGAAAATAAACAATCAAGTTCTATAATTTGAATTGTTAAAGAGGAGTGAATGAGCGGAAGAATCTCTATACACATTGTCACGTGGTCATTCTTTGATGGCTGATGGAAGATCAAAGATTTGGAATCGTACAAAAGGCTGAATAATCATTCTGTTCTGGTTGGAAGGAAGGAGTAAAGAATTTGCTGAAACCGCAACCGAGCGTTACACCACCATACAATAAACAAAACTAAACTAAAATAGATTTGACACTAATGAACACTGTTTTAAACCCCCCCTCAAGAAAAGCAAAAATTTCTTTAAAAAAAAATGAAATTTTCTTACCTTTCGGCTCCTTCCCCAACATAGAAAAAGCATATCTAGGCTCTTTGGATCAATGAAAAACTCACCAGTCTATGAAGGGCCGGCCTTAGACAACACATGATGTGGAGTCCCAGCTCTCCATAACTTCACTTTAACATCCCGCAGTAACCATGGCGATGAGGTGCTTACACATGCTTTGGTAAAACAGATGTGAGAGCAGCGCAACGTCAGATAAGGGGGATGCTTCTTAACAGTTTCACTGCAGTTTACATTTCACGGTCGGAGCAGAGCCACATCAGAAATTTGGTAAATCGTTGACCCACTGCTGGAATCTCTTCAATTCGTTCTAGCGTATTATGATTGAAATTAAATACCGCGCGGGATGGAATATTTTGGAAGCTGTACGTGACGTTTGCTTATGTTTCCAAAATATCTACTGTTTTTGCGCCTTACGAACATCTGGCTGAAGATCTGGAAATTTAACAACTGAGAACAGTTTTTAACTGGTTGTAACTTCACGGGGAACTAGAATAATGCCCTTTGCAACTAGAAACAAAGGAGTCTCTCGAAAGCTCTCATTCAGATCGTACGAGGCTCCGTATATAGATCCTTATAAGATTAATTGAATACCTATTGTATATTCCTTGTTGCTGTATAATAAATACAAAAGTTTTATATATTTAGGCAATTATTAGCTTATCAGCATACGCAGAGGAATATATTTAGCTATTGTACTTTAGCCAAGTTTAAATAAAGTTGTTTTCACAAGATTTAAAAACGTCTGACGTTTGTTGTAGCAAGTCAAAACACGAGGGATCTTTGTACTTATTGTTGTATTCTGTTTACGAACCAGTTAAGTTTGTTTTTAAAAGAATAATCGCTTTTTAACTGATACAAGAGTCATTTGAAACAGCTCTAACTGCGGATCTACTTTAATGTCCATCACGTGTTTTATTTGCATACAAGTATTAATTTCCTCCCTTCTAGGGGTTCAGGCTTCAATTTTAAAATAAAATGTAAAAACAATAGTGCAATAAACATTCATAAATCGTTTGGGAAAATTTCATGCTTCCAATTATGCTCATAACAATATTTTTGAAATTTTTCGATCAGTACCCATTGCCGCCATTCAAATTAAAGGGGATTTTAGTGTTATACATAGGTAAAAACTGGCAATTTTATATAACCTTAATCTTAACGAAACATCCTGCTTTAAACAGGATTTTACAATCTTTTAACGCAAGCTCTTAAACGACGATTATGAAATAATAACAGGAAAAATGGCGCCATGATGCCCAGAACAAGTTACAAATTTAAGAGTTAAGTATCAAAACTTTTCAAATTAAACCCTTTATAACTAAAAAAAAAATATGACAGTTTCAAAGATAATTATCTCGAAATAGAAGGTGGCGCTTTTAATATGTTACAAATAAAGCCGGTGGCTAATGCTCACGTGCGAAGAGGACCCCCCTAACGAAAAAAATTTGGAGAGTTGGACAAAAATAAGTAGTTTTGTTCCAAAACATGAGTCAAGGGATTTGGGAAGATTTGACATCACCAGTTAAACAAACTTAAATTCATCTGTCACCAGCTAAATCAGGTGAAGTTATCTAGAAAATGAAACTTGCTCTGGCAATTGCAGGTGCACAAAGCCAAAGCTTCCTCCCCTCTTTGGATATCTGCCAATATTTCCTGGTTAGATAAACGCGCGCGTGTATATCCTTTCACTATATTAAATGCCATCTTGTAACATATGGAATCCTTAAATTTAAACTTTCAACCAGTTTTAGATCATTCGGCATGTTCCACATTCACACTGAAGTGTAACCAAGTCCCCATTCTAATGACTGATCTGTTCTGTTGAATGTAGGTCCACAGTACGTTTGTACACGACTTTTTTGGGTGACAAAATATTTAAACTTCTTAAAAATAATCATAAAAAATATTAAAATAATCGATTACAACAATGAAAATATTTTTGAATTTTTTCAATTGTTACGAAACGTGACGTAATAATGCGCTTTTTAAATCATCTATTACAAAAATAACGGTCCTTTTCTTTAACGTTTTAAGTTGTTACGAAACGTGACGTAATAATACAATTTTGAATTATAACCGTTAAAAATAACATTTTCAATTACGAAAACGTGACGTAATAATAGAAATTTGAATTAATTAATAACCGTTAAAAAATAACGACTTTTTTCTTTCTGTTACGAAACATTTATGAAGCAACAATGTAATGAATATTTATTGTGACGTTTAAATAAAAATTTAACGTAAATTTCTGTGTGATGTCACAATTGGGAAACATTAAAATGAAAGTTTTAGAGATAAATCGGTAACGAGTTTTGGCAAAGTGTACACGAAAAAAAGAAATGTTACGATCGTAACAATGATTCATCCTTAACTACATTTTCTTAGGCAAATTAAGTAAAGTTTGTAGATAAGTAAAACAGAAACTAAACATTGCCAAGTGTGTTTTGTAATCGTCAAAAATATATGTGATAGGCAAGAACAGGTGAAAATCAATCCGGACTTAAATTTGGTATAAGGAACACCCACTTGAATTCATGCGTTATGTTTCTACTCTAATGCTAATATTAGTCGACTTCGCTATGCTTTCAATCTGTGTCAGCGCTAATTTATTCGCAATTAGTACCTAATTTACAAGTCTTTAGAAGTGTCTGAACGGTGTGACGTTAGAATAACCCACTTGTGACGTCAGTTCTTTCTTCTTCGCCTTCCGGTTGACTCGGCATCCCGCTTAGCTTCGAATTACTTACAGAAAGTAGCGAGTGGTCAAATAGTAGCGTAAAATGTACACAGCTGACTTAAATCTGTGACGTCAGCGTCTACATACCCTTCTTTATGTTGAGAGAGAAAAGTGGACGTCATTCTCTGTTTTTAAAATGAGACGAGATACGCTCTTTGGTATAATTATTGTGATTAGCAGCTAATACATACTTGTGTTGAGGAGGTGTGGACGTGTGACGTAGTACGCTTCCGACGTGACGTCAGCTTTTTATTTCCCTTCTGGTTGATACGATACTCACTCCTCTTTACACCCAAACACGAGTAGTAGCTTATCGAAAAACACGAGTGGCAAACATCTTAATGACGTCAGGGTTTAAGCTCCCATTTCAAAACCGATTTGTGACGTCACGCGTTAACTATTTCTCATGTGTTACATCGAAGGCGTGTTGATTGTTTTGTTCGGCATTACTTCATATCGTTATCATCGTAAACAATTTTACAATTTTAGCGTAACAACGATTTTACAATCACATTATTTACGTTCGAATAAGTACACAATAGAAGCATTGTGTAGTGTGATGTCATAATTCTCTTAACACATAGTGTTATCGTATAAACGAAATTCTCTACTAATCGATTAGTGTGACATCAGCAACTTCCGCAATTTGTATGACATCAGAACAGTCACGATTTCCGGTATCTAAAACGTTTGATTGTTATCGACTTTTGTTACGTCACAATAGTTAAATGATTATAAGTGAAGCTTACAAGAAAAAAATATACGTTACAAAAACAAAATTAATCTCGTGAAAACGACGTCACAGATGCTAATCGTAACGTCACATGACACGGGTTAGCACAAAAAGCGCTTAATTATCGTATTTCGGTTACTTTATTTTTAGCATTTTCTCGTGTTTTTTTAATGGAAAAAAAAGAAATAAACACACATTTTTTGGAAAGAAAATGGAGTTTCAAAAAATAGTACCACGATGAGTTCCTAATGTGAAGCTATCACGTAACTCAGTATTCCGGATGGTATGTAGAATCGTGCTGTTTTGGCCAATTAAACAGCAGTTAAGGGGGATGAAATTTTTAAACCCTTTAAGTGCCGTTTAATTGGCCACATTTGCATTAATTTTTAAATTCGGACCAAGGTTACATAATTAAAATTCATTTACTACTGAATCCAAAATAATTCCTGTAGGAATTATCCTCTAAATCCTCTAGATTTAGAGAGAATTCCTTTTATACATTAGATAGGGTTGAGTTTCAATCCTATCTAATGTATAAATTAAAAATGTTCTAGATCCTTTAGATTCGGAGGATTTAGTGTAAAAATCCTCTGAATATAAAGGATTTATAGATATTTTTCAAATTTTAATATTAGATGGGGTTGTTTCAAAGGGTTCCTCTTTGTATCTAGATGATTTTAAGATATCTGACGATCCTCTGAATCTAGTATTGAAATCCTCTGAATATGTTGTTAAAATCTTCTGGATCTAGTGAGAAAATCCTCTAAATTTAAAGGAGTTTATAGAAATTTTATATTAGATGGAGTTTAGNAGGGTTCCTCTTTGTATCTAGATGATTTTAAGATATCTGACGATCCTCTGAATCTAGTATTGAAATCCTCTGAATATGTTGTTAAAATCTTCTGGATCTAGTGAGAAAATCCTCTAAATTTAAAGGAGTTTATAGAAATTTTATATTAGATGGAGTTTAGTTTTAGAGGACTTCTCTCTGAATCTAGAAAGTTTTAGAGGATTTTTCTCTGAATCTAGAGGGTTTTAGAGACATATTATAATCCTCTGAATCTAAAAGATTTATAGAGTTTTAAAAATTTATATATTAGATAAGATTGAGTTTCACAGGAATTCTTTCTAAATCTAGAGGGTTTTAGGGACGTGATGATCCTCTGAATACAAGTTCAACACTAACTTATATTTAGAGGATTTCGACACTAGATTCAGAGGATCATGGCGTGTCCATAAATCCTCTAGATTTAGAAAGAATTCCTGTGAAAGTCGATCCTATCTAATATATAAATTATTAAAATGTCTAAATCCTTTATATTCAGAGGATTTTCTCATTATATTCAGAAGATTTTTACAGCATATTCGGAGGATTTGGATACTCCTCAGAGTATCGTCAGATGTGCCTAACATCCTCTAGTTTCAAAGAAAATCCTCTAAAACTCATCTATTCACTACAATTAATTTTTTAAGCCGTTCGTTATTAATCCTCCCTAAATTTATACTATTATATAAACAATAATTTGTAAATTATACAAAAAAATTTTGAATTCAAACCGACCTCACCTCTGTGTTGCTGTCTGCAGAGGAAGACATTTTGTCTACCGGTAACACATGACAGGATGTGTAAATGATAACCACTTTTAGGGTTACTCAATGTCTATAACTTTAAATCTTTTTTTAAAATATTATTTACTCAAAAAAGCTGCAAAAACAAAATTATATTTCGTGCCGCAAACACCCTTTTAAGCGTTAAACAAATAAAATTAAATCAAGTTCCCATTAAGTAAATAAATTACCTAATCGCTTATCTGACATTTTATGGATCAATTAAAGGACAATTTGCTTGTTTTCTTTATTATATACATGAATTTGCCTGTTTATTTTTTAATTTTCTTGCTTGTTTTATAGAGTATAGCGCATATTTCACGTTGTCATTGTTTAAAATGAAAATAAAGCCTCTGCGTGAAAAAAAATCACTTTATTTATGTTTAATACTGTTCTTCCCCCATTTATACAATGTAGAAGATCCTCGTATTAACAATCTATAGACTTATTTAGCCTGCACATAAGGCTCTCCTATGAAATATATCTTATAAAGGCTGCCCTGCATTGATTTATACATTATGCAAGCTTAAGCAAGGCATGCTTCAGAGAAAAAGGCTTATACACGGTTTCAGTCTATATATATATAAGGCTGAATAATATGCAGTATTATACCCTGTATTATGTTTAAAATGCTGAATAATTAGATTTGAAGGCCTCAGTATATGATACAAGGAAGCAGGTCCGAGTTATAGGCACACTAAACAGTTACCTAGTGAGCAAACATTTAGGGAATGCCACAACCAGCATCAGTCAAAGGCTAGCCGTGGCACCCCTAAAACACAACTATTAATTATCAATTACTCATACACACTCATACCCTGTGAGCGCCTGGTAGTGGGTTTTGGATTGTGCAATGCCCTGCAATATAATACAATAATTGATATTGTGTAAGATCTAGTTGCCCAACGTATGCGAACCCCTAAATATAAACTTTAATCCTCTATACCTGTAAGGAGTTAACAATATCATTAATAATTTCCTTTTTTTAATTAATATTAATTAAAATGGTCATAAAATACAAATTTTTTACTAATTATGCACTAAAATTGCAATTAACAGTGCCAATTAAGTGTTAACGTGCAACACGACGAGTGCCAATTAAGTGTTAAAAAGTAGTCGTTAAAGTATCGAAAAATATCATAAAAATTCTAATTAATTTTTTAATAGTTAAATAAAAATTAAAATTATTATCTAGTAATTAATTTTTTTAAAAATTACAAAAAGAATGTTTATATAAAACAAGGGGTGGCCTTGCTGAATCATTTATGGCTTACCAAACACCTGTTAAAGTCCATGTTAAAAATATTATTCTCTGTCACGTTATTTTCGAATTATTGATCGTAAAAACGAGTTCATGTGACTACTTTCAATTGATAATAATTTTAAAACAGCCATTCAAAGCCATTTAATAATAAAAAATTGTTTAAAATTACAAAAGACGTGACGTTGACGATGCGTAACCCCATTTAGATACCAATGAAAATGAATTAAAAATATATATTTTTGGGTGATTTCTGGACATTTAAATACACAAGACAATAAAGAATGAGTCTGCGGATCATTTTCGACTAAAAATAACAATTTAAAGTAATGTAATATGTTTAAAATTACAAAAGAAGTGACCTTGACGAAGCGCAACCCAATTCAGGTACCACGCAAATAATTTATTTTTAAAATAATTTTTAAGAATTTTTTTCACTTTACATATACAAAACAATAAAAAACAACCCCCAGTACTATTTTCAATTAAAAATAACTCTTCAAAATAATTTAATAAATTCAAAATTACAAAAGAAGTGGCATTGATGATGCGCAACCCCATTTAGGTTATTACTAAAAATAGTTTAGGGTTTTTACTTCTATATATTTAAATTAATAATCAAAATAAAAATAAGTACACTTACCCTATTTTTGAATATCTTTTTGGGTATTTTACCTTTTGTTGTTATAAAATCGAGAAATTTGATATTATGTTTAGTACTTTCATCCATAGCGATACCTGTAACCATCTGTCAAATCTTGTGTTCTTTTACCCGTGTTTATCTCGATAGGTTTTATCACTGTATACTTAATTTGTCCACTGACGTGATTTAATACGTGGTGTTACTGTACACGTGACCGCTGTCTGACTTGTCGAGTAAGTGCAAAGAGTTATTTTGCAATCCAGATGGAGAAACGTGAATGCTAAATGCTCTACCCTTTAAGTAGTTTAAAGTACGAAATTTATAGGCGCCATTAATAAAAAAGATCGCTGTAACTTTGCTCTATTGTAAAATGATTCAAAAATTCAATTTGTTATTATTTTGTGTTTAAAATTTCGAAATTTTTAAAAGTTTTTGAGTGGTTTAAAGGTAAAATATAGGTAAAATTTCTGGCCATTATTTTGACTTTCTGAGCCACCAAAATAGGCCAAAATATTGACTCTAAGAAGGCAAGATGTTCAATAACTTTTACTTAACTTATTGTTTTCATTTAATAAATGGCCAAAATATTAACAGTAAGGAACCAAGAAATCGATCATTTTAGAGCCATTTTAAACTGCCAGAAATAACAGATTTTAACTCTAAGGAACCAAGGTACCAGTCGACCCCCCTATAACACTGTTGATAATTCCGTTTTATAAGAATTCCATGTTGTATGAGTCACTTGGATTTTACAAATACGTGAGCCGTTCACAGCCTGGCACACGTATTTGTAAAATCTAAGTGACTCGTACAACATGGAATTCTTATAAAACGGAATTACGGTGTTATAGTGGGGTAGACTGGTATAGGATACTTTGCATGCAATGAAATGGTTTCTCAAGTGTCCAGAGAAGCTTAAAATATTGTCCCCAAGGAATCAAGATGTACGTATTTTTAAATGCCCAAAAAAGTCTACAATATTTAATATTAAAAATTAAAAAATACAGAAATTTGGCCTACTAACACGTTAAAAGAGTATAATTATACGTAAATAAAAGGGTATATCACTAAAATTAATGTCACCCTTGGGTCAAAACCTTAATACGAGATATCTAACCTACTTATAACTCGAATACAACATTATTCTAGTGTATAAATTAAATATATAATTTCAAAATTTATCATTTTATTGCTGAAAATTTGTTAAAAACGCTTATTCGAACTGTTTCTTTATGAAAAATTACCCATTTCAATGCCTTAAATTTATTAAAATTCACCTAATTAAGCATTAAAATTAACGCATTTTACACGGAAAAATGAAATTTTTCTGAATATTTTGTATAATTTGTTTTAAAATACACGAGAAAAACTCGTATTTTGTCGTAAATTTTATAATTTAAAGTTAAAATTATTTAAATATTAAGTTTATTTTAAATTTTAGCACTTTATACGACTCACAAGAAGGCAGGAACTGTGAAAAATCACACTTACAGACACACTGACATACGCGTTTTTAAGATAAAATTACGTTTTTATCGCTAATTTTACATAAAATATGGCTCATTTTAAAATATACAAGCTGACTTTTTACTTAGTTTTAGGTTTTAAAAACGATTTAGCGGCCATTTTGTTTTGAAAAATATCAATTTGAAACGTAAAAATAGCGAATGAAATTTGAAAATCCAAGTCACGTGACGAATTTATCAATTTCACTAGGGAAAAATTTTTAAATAGCGCCATCTACTGGTAAAAATATCTCACCGAAAAAAATTAATTTAAATTTTTAAATCGGCGAGTTAATTTCATCATCAAATAATATCTTAAATATTTTTTGGCGTCCAATCACGAAAGCAAAAGTCATAAAAAGGATAAAATAAACTTTTATTTAATGTCTGCTTATCTTCAAAAGTCTACAGAAATTTATTTAAATTTTTTAAATAAAAAACGTTTATAACGTTCGATTAATATTTCTCGTGCCGAATAATTGAGTTTTAGATATTTTTAGTTTGTTTTAATGCATATTTTATACTCAAATTGCCTTATTTTCTTTGGCTCATTTTCGATTGATTTTTCGGAATAAAATTGTCTCAAGATGGCGTCGAAGGGTTCGTCACTGATCGACACACGTGCAGAATTAGCGGAATTAGTGAAAAGGAGAGCGGAAATTGCGGTAAGTTCATCTTTATTCGTGTATTTATAACAAAATAGTCCCATTTTCGCTTCCGTTTTTGACAATAAACCGTATTTTAATTATCGGAAACGTCACTTTACTTTTGGTTTAGCCTAATCCAAGATGGCGGACAACTACGTCTCTAACTTGGCGTTCTGACGTCATCGATCAGCTATTGGGCGTTATTCTTAATTCGTTTTACAGAATTTCATTCCGATTGGTAGGATTTTTGTAATAGTTTCGAATTGTTCAATAGTGTCGCCCGTTACGTAGCTGTAGGGTGCTAATTGAGTAGCGGTGTGAATGACGTAATAGGCGCGTGATATAAAGTTTGGCTCCAGATTGTGTTGTTTAAAGGGTTCTGGTCACGTGTTTGTGTTTCGTGTTGCTGTAAATCGCGTATTGACCCGTTTTTATGTTCAATTTTGGGTTAATTTACACCTTATATCTTCATTAATGCTTCAATTATTGGTTTAATTTGTTTAAATATGAATCAGTGTATCTTTTATATACTAAATTTCTTTGTTTTTGCCTGTTTTATACACTCATTCGAGTTATTACTATGCTATAATGCATAGTTTTCAAGTTATTTCTATGTTATGGGTCCTTAAAGTTACATAATAAGTAGCTAAGAGCTTACTTTATTAAGAAGTAATGCTAATTGATTAATAAATATGATTTTTACACACTGATGTGCAGTTTAAATCCATTATGCCCATTAACATCCATCCTGCATTACCTATCAGTCTTTATTGTTGGCCTGAATTGAACATTTGATGGATACGGAGCTAGGATCCTGGTGCCACAGACATTGAGAGTCTTTAGATTTTGAGTTATGTATCATGATGATAAATTTACATGGCAACCACAATTTCTTTGGCACATATTACAGAGGTCGACATTTTCAACGCGAAAACGTGTACGTCGGACGTTCAGCGACGCTTTCCTAAAGGCCTAGAAGTTTGCCAATGATGTTCGGGACGTCGAGCACGATTCCACTGACTATCCAAACACCATTGTCAAACTTCTAGACTTATAGGAAAGCGGCGCTGAACATCCAACGTACACGTTTTCGCGTTGAAAACGGCAGCCGCAAACTCTCTATTATGGGCTTATGAAGCATTGTTTCCCTAGAATAGAATATAACTGTCACAATTTGCACCACATGCTCCAGGATGCACTTGACTTATATGACAGCAAGTGTGTTTTATTTTAAGTGTCTGGTGTGGAATTTGGGGTGAGAAGCTTATTGGTCCTGTATGCATTGAGTGTATCCTGAATAGTTATATATATATATATATATATATCTGAACATTCTGAATGTGATGGTAGATGAATGGCTTGATGACTTGTCATTGGTGAAACTATGGCAAGTTTGATACCAACATGATAGTGCAATACCTCATTTCCAGATGTGTGTTGGTAGTTTGCAAGATGGTTTAACAACTGCTGGATAACGCAGTTCTATGGGCACTTGATTTTTTCTTGTGAGGTCACGTAAAACCTGTGGTGTATGATGCATACTCGGCAGCAATGTGCAATGTTGGCAGACAGAATTATATATAAGCTCAAGAAATGGTAATGACAGGATTGCCACATGCCAATGGAGACGTTTAAATGCTAGATAAATACATACATACATGCCCACTTTAGGAGTTTATTATGTATGTAACAGCTGTAGATGGAACCTAACAGGGTAGAGTAAATCGAAACTTATTCTATTTTTTCATGGGCTGTGTAAAAACTCTTTTTTGCACCGTATCTTGCATTATAAGTTAGACATTATTATTCCAAACAATTGCAATTAATTAGTTGCAGCCTTCTGAACTTCCTCCAAGTCCGAAGATCCATTTTAGCACAAAATGTAATACAAACTAATTTTAAAATCTTAAAAATTTCAACAAATAATAAAAAAAAACAGTAGCCTACAGAGAAGGGTCTGTTGTGACCCAGTTTTTTTTTAAAGTTTGAAGAAATTTGTAAATAATCATTAATTTAAAATGTTAGTGTCAAGCAGATTGACTTTCTATAAGTGTCCAATTATAATAATAGGTTACAGTTAAAACTGTATTTTCATAAACATAATCTTTGTTTGACACTTAGAAGAAATGCAAAGATTCACTTAAGTCATTTAATTAAATCATTTCAAGTAGAAATTATGAATTAAATTAAATGTATGTTAAATTCAGGGCTGTGGAGTCAGTAAAAAACCACTCGACTCTGACTCCAACTCCAGCAAAATTAAATACCAAGTCGTTTTATGGGTGTAGAGGCACTCATAGGGGTTTCCCTACTCTGAAAGGAGCCTGGGGCATTTACTCAAATACTTTTATAGTTATTATTTTTAATATTTAACTTACATTAATATTTATTTGTATAAAAAAATTAATTTTTAACGAATATTGAATAAGAGGAGAAAGGGGGCGATAAAATTCTGCATCTGCATATATCCGATAGCATTTGCACTTCAATTTCACTCTTCCAGAAGAGTTAGTCCAACTAAAAAGTGTGCGATCTGGCTAGCTACTTCATCCCCTTGTTCAGAAAAGAAAAATATACACTTTGATGAATTAATCTGGCTTATTCACAAAAATAGAATACTTATTTAGAAAAGAGATAATAAATAAAAAACAAAGTAAATTTAAAATGCGGAATTTGGAGTTGCAGTCGACATTTTTTCTGACTCCAACTCTTCTGGCCAGAAATTCCTCCCGACTCCGACTCCACAGCCCTGGTTAAATTATAGCAGATTACTTGATGTAATGAAAGATTTGTTTATGTGTAAATATAAACATCCACATTAAACCTGATACATAGCTATTGATTTGTTTATGTCTTAAGTTATTGTTATTCGAATTTAACAAGGATTATTGCCACAATTATTGTTATGGTCTTAATAATGTTTTTTCTTTGTGTTCGACATTGCCAGATGTACAAGTATTCTCATACTTATGAGAGTTTTAATGGATGCTTTACATTCCTGATTAAATGAAGAAAAATTAAATTCTTGTTTCAAACTGTGATAGATACACAAGATCTTTCACTCTGTGGTATAAGAAAGCTGATCTGAAAATCAGGAGTGTTGAGTTATTTTCAGGGTTGTGGAGTCGCGTAAAAATCTACCAACTTTGACTTTTCCTTACCAATCCAACTCCGACTCCAGCTAAAACACCAAAACTCCACGACTCCGACTCCACAGCCCTGCCAGGGCTGTAGAGTCGCGTAAAAATCTACCGACTCTGACTTTTCCTTACCATCCGACTCCGACTCCGGCTAAAACACCAAAACTCCACGACTCCGACTCTGACTCCAACTCCACAGCCCTGGTTATTTTTAACACCGCTGCTGCATGGATAATAGTATAACCAATGTTGATGATGATGACCAGAGGCCAAGTGGTTAAGGTGATGACCTATTACTCTAAGAAACCTGAAAACTAATCCAAATAAATCACTAATCCCATTGGAATATTTTTGGGTGGTGTGTCCTGGATATGTTGGGCTTGGTCTGTCACCACTTAGCCACCCGATTTGGGCTCGACTTTATCAAACCCACAATGAGTTTGATAAAAAAAAGCACCATTGCCCATAGGACAGAAAGAAAATCCGAAATTAAACCCTATGTTATCAATTTGGTATTTTTAGTAAGCTGTTTAGTGCCATTTGTTAAACTTGGTTTGTTTGTTAACCTTTGCACACTAAAATCAGTCTTTACTACTTGTCAAATTAGCTTCTATAATCTGAGATTGGCAAGTATGAATTATTTTGTCTTGAATTAACCAAAATATACTTTTGATAGAGGGAGAATCTCCAGAAAAACATAGAGCATTAAGAAAATCCATACTTACTAAAGCACAAATCCACATAGAAGTATGATGGAATGTTCATTATCTGAATGTCAAATATCCAAACATCTCTTTTTCCTATTTCTCCCTCCCACCAGCAACAGTGTGAATTGAACCAGTGAATGTTGATAGTCTGTTTGGTTACCAATTAGCACTCAACAAAGGACTGGCTATATGAAGTATTCCAGGTTTTTTTCACATGTCTAACATTAAAATAGAGGCCAGTTTCCTTACATTGACACTTTTCTGCATTAGAAACAGCAATGCTGTGGTGCAAACACAATCAGAATGTTGTCTTTTGTAATTACAGTACTTACTAAAGTAAGTTTAATTATGGAGTTGTAAATAACTTTATGGCCTAATGCAGCCACGATCATACATTAAAAAGATGATTATCAAATACATAAACATCAAAATAATGTACTGTAAATACGATAAAATTTTTAAAATTCTTTTAATTGAAAGTGTGGTTATGTAACTTTATAAAATTGACCTATTGACCTTGAAGTAAAGTTGATACTTGACCGTTATAGGGTGTAACTTAGTCATTAACTAAATTATTTACGTTAACTCCCTTATTTACAACATAAAAGAGTGTGTTAAGGTTAGCTTTTTATTAGCAGCAAAATAATTTGATTGTCTTTTAGGAAGAACTTCTTTCATGCTCACTGCTTATTCTCTCGCAATTCATTTGCAGTATCAGAAGTGACCTGAATGATCTTAAAATATGTCCTGGTTATTATAATTGAATCTTGTGCCACCCCCATATTTTATAAATCAAAAGATTAAAATAGTCTTCAGGTAGGCTTTATAATAGCTTTTATAATTGTCCAAGACAGAAATGAATGCAGAATTACCAACAGTGTTTTGGCTATGGGTGCGTTTACTTTTTGCTTGCTTCCAAGGTCGCCGGCTGACACCTAGCGCAGCCTGACGTCATACTAGCACACTGGTAAAAGTATACACGGTAATGAACGCCACCATCTTTGAACAAACTCCAAGCTCGTTGTAAATTCTCCGAGCACGCTAGGAATTCTAGCAATGACGTCACGGATGCGAAAAGTAAACGCCGTGCTCATTGGTAGCTTACAAAAAGTATACAGACTGAGTGTGCTAGGGGAGAGATCGGAACTAAAAGTAAATGCACCCTATATAAACTTGCCATATTATACGAATTAGCTTGTAGTAATTGTTTGTTGTTTAGAAGATCTGTACATTTCATTTTAAGCAAATACAGTTCTATATTTGATTTTTGACAGAATTAAGTTAGATAAATGATCTCCAATAGCCACAAATTAGAGTCCTTGAACTTCTCTTATTTTATTTAGGAAACGTTAGCCAACTTAGAAAGACAGATCTATGCTTTCGAAGGAAGTTATCTAGAAGATACGCAGCTCTATGGAAACATCATCAGAGGATGGGACAGATATCTAACTGCAAATAAGTAAGTTGTGTATTTATTTACTCTAGTGATAGTTGTATAAAATATAGTTAATAAGTGTGAATTAATTGAAATATATTGGATCCTGCTTTCGGTGATGTGGATGGCCAATGTGAGAAAGACATTGACCCATCACTAGCCCTGTCAAGAGGGGGAAACATTGCTGTAGCATGGGGCTTGACTTTTAGAGGAGCTCAAGAAGCTATATTTAAACAAATTTCTTTGTTTCTTTGCAAGGACATATTGTGTTGAGATGAGGGAATTTGGTTCGGATGGGATGGCTGCAGAAATATGGTTAGAGGGATGAGAGGTCCAGAGGTTTTATTGGGTATACCTGTCATTCTTATGCATTTGACTCCATATATAATTCAGACATTCAAAAATTTTGATATTTGACCTAGATATGTCCTCTCTTTATTTGCATTTGGCCAAATGCTTGTGTATTTAGGAAATCTTCATATAGGATAGATGTGAAATATACTGTAACAATGTCTTTTAAGATCTTTAATGGTCAAAATATTCCAGAAAAATTAGTATTAATTAAAATACTCAGTGGAATGTGCATGGCTAGCCAGTTTATGCACCTTCTTGGTATCTAACCTCTTTGAAACACTCTTACATTTTTGATAAGTTTACGACACAAATCATCTGACACAAACATCTTCTAATTATAACACTGTGTTGAGTAATAACTGTCCACAAAAAAACCTTTATCAGTGTTGTGTTCGTTACAATATCCACTAACATTTTCGACCTCCACCGAGGTCTTCTTCAAATGCTGACTAAGCGTTGTCTCTCCTTGATTGTTAGAATGATGCCGTCCAAGATGTAAATATTGCGCATGTCACATTTCACCTCTCCACTTGTCCCCGTTTGAATTCCTCAAATAGGTATCTCCATGCCTGCATGATCGTCTCTCCATCTTTAAAGTTGATGCAGGTGCCTCCAACGTTGGCTTTGTATATCTCCCAGGCCTCAAGGTGAAAGATGTGAGCAATTTGAAATGTCTGTCTGATTAATTTAGTGTTTGGGAAGTCTGCCCGAATTTTAGGGTCGCTAACATACGCCATTAAGTGTTGGGAGCACCTGCATCAACTTTAGACAGAGAGACGATTGCGCAGGCATAGAGATAACTATTCGAGGAATTCAAATGGGGACAAGTGGAAGGGTGAAATGTGACACTCACAATATTTACATCTCGGATGACATCATTCTAACAGTCAAGGAGAGACAACACTTAGTCAGCTCCTGCAGAAGACCTTGGTGGAGTTGAAAATGTTAGTGGATATTGTAAGGAACACAACACTGATAAAGGATTTTTGTGGACAGTTACAAATCGTTTGTTAATTCTCAGGCAAAAGACACTGGCCATTGCAGTTATACTGCATTCACTGGTTTCTCAAGATAGACTTTTTCCTTTGGATACCACCAAAAGAAAAAGTCACAGGAATTAATGCAAAGGCTGTGTAATGGCCATATTGAACTGCCTTGAAAATATTCTGAGTATTGATCATGCACAAAATCCAGAATAGAGTTTGCTGCATGATAACAAGCTTCATATTGCATGAACCCATGTGTTTCTATTGATACTCCTGTTGCCAACAGTTGTAGAATCCAGGAAACTGTTTTGCAATATGTTAATGTAACTCACACTATTAAACACTCACTCACTCACTTTCTTCACTATAACTTTCAATCTCAACCACATTATAATGAGGTTCTTCTGCCCAAAATCTAACATTCTGCTTGTTCGTAAAACTGTTCAGGTAAACATATACCTCATCAGAGAACCACATGTTTGGCAAAGCATCATAATCTTCAGTAGTCCAAGAAGCATTATTTACCTACTATTTTTTGTCATTTGCTATTAGTTTGTGAAGCATTGTAACTTTATTTGGGAGCAAGTGCATATCTGAATGGAGTATATTCTCTGAAGAGAATGGGAGATGCCCAGCTTGACAGATGTAGTTCTAATGGATTTAGATTGAACTCTCACAGCCTTGATATTCTCTAGTGTATGGATTATGGCAACTTATGATTGTTTTCTGTCCAAAATACTTCTGTCAGTTTCAGATTTTCTGGTCAGTCTGTAGAAAACCTACTGTGTAACAAAATAAACAGAAAAACGTTTTTAAGTCCTGGCTACACTTTTTGTTTCCATGTAAAATAACGCTGTTTTTACCTTTATTTTCAAACATAGACAACTCTTCATGTTTCACAAACAAAAGTCTGTTGTGTTGCTTACACACAACATCAATGAGTGTTGCCATCTATCACACATGAACTAAAGCTGCTTGTTGAAAAATTTTAAAGTTCAGAACTCAAAGTATGAATTTTATAAATTATTTTCAATGTCTGAATATCATGAACCGCCCTGTATGAGTCAGATAATGAGGAATGGAAATGAAAAAGTATGAGATGGACAGGATATATCCTTTGTAATTCCCCTATTGACCAGGCCCATAATGAAGAATTTCATAGAATATAATAATTTTATAATTCTGATTATATGGAAAACATGATTACTAGTTTAACAACAGTTTCTAGGAACAAATCTGTTTTAATGGAACATTTCACTGACCTGACTTATTCCTGAAATTCGGCACACTATTGGAGTTGTGCCTACTGAAAATAGGTAAAATTGAGACCGAATGTATGTCCCGACTGTGCTGATATCATGTGGTATCAAAACTCATACCATGTAGTTCATCGTCTAATGAATTGCAAACTTTATTTCAAATTCTCATACTTATTTTTGTGTAGACAAAACCAAAGTCAAGTGTACCACAATTATAAAAAGTTTGTTATGGATTTTATCACCAAATGTTAAGAAATATTGCTTTGAAGCCATCATAAATGTGCTAACTTTTAAATGCAATTTAGTAGTTGACCTCCTCATAGGATCCATTTCTGTGGGAGAAAGTATTGTTTCTTATGTATATAAGTCAATGGTTGTTTATGGCGAATTGCATAATGACTGTCTCCACTCAACGTGGAGATGATTTGTATGCGATCCCATTTACTTCAGTTAGTGACAACATGCATGTGTTGTGTCACAAAAAGTGGCAAGACAATGGCATTGATTTTTGCCTTAAAACTCAATTCCGTGCCATTTTAACCAAGAATTGACTGTCTTTTGTAGCATTTGCTGCCGAGCCATGTTTATAACGGCCAATAACGAGCTGTCGTTTATCTATGTGCTAAATTACAGTTGCACGCTACTTTGATAGTGAAAGCTTCAATGAGAGAATATCAGTCATCTGAACACAAAAAAGAAAATGATTTGTCCAATGTCATTTAATATGGTAACATGTATTTAAATGATATAATTCTATGATCATCTTTATAACAAGAAAAAGTAAGAATTTAAGGATATTATCTTAAAACGAACACGGTGGATATAAGAATTGCAGGTGTAAAACACTTTGCAATTGAAGCAAAGTGTCCGTGGTTTCCATTTTTTGCTGTTGTACTGCACGCATGTGTCTTATTCATCTAAAATATTACAGGATGGACTATATAAAGGATTATAAAAAAGAATAGATAAGCCTCCAGAAGAGGCTTTTCAAATCCTTTGAATAACTGTTTAAATAAATAAGAATGCAAATGAAGATTGTCATTATACAGGATCTTTGAAAATGAATACTACCATTTTAAATTATGTTAATTATTATCACAGAAGTATGTAACATAAATTAATAAATAAAACAAGTGTCAAAGTTTTTTCTCTCATCTGCATTCAAACATCTCATCTCTAGGAAGTGTCGTAAACAAAAATGGCCACTTGCAACAGAGAAGGCATTTTGTGTTCTGCTCTTCACAAAGTCGGAATCACCTTGTCATTGTGCAAAAGGTGTCATCTGCAGGAGTTGTAGAATTGTGGCTGCCATTGGAGGAGTGATTGGATTTACTGAGGTGAGCTTAGAAAGAATTCGAGCATCAGTTAGATACATGCTGTGCGATGCGAGTTATACTGAGAAATTGTAATGGGCAAATGTAAAACTTGGACAATTTTCCAACGTTTTAATGAATGTTACAGCATTCTCAGATAATAATTATCATAATTACAGTAATTTAAAATGGTAGCATTCTTTTTGGAAAACACTGTACAGTACAATTCAGCACATAAGCAACTTTTTTTCCCCATAGAAACATGTCTTCTATGTATATCAATTACCAAATTAGTCGTCATAAGAAACTTTGATGCAGATTTATTCGATCATCTTGGTTATGGATAATAGAATATCTGTAATTAACGCTTCCTTATTTTCTCATAAAGATAAGATTACTGAATCTTATCCTCAATTTTAACTTCAGAAATGGTTTTTCTTTAAGCGTAAAGCTGGCTGGTTGTTTATGATGAATGAAAAGACAGTGTATATTTATTTATTTTGCTCATTATGTGAAATTTCTATAGCTAATTTTTTATTTAGAAAATGATTTCTCTTTTAAAAGCATTAAATGCAACATTCTGTTAGAATTAAGAATGTAAAAGTGATTAATAAACATTTCTTTTCAGGAGTACAAACAGCAAAGCGGACAAAAGGAATCGGAAATTCAAAGAAGCTGAACGCCTATTTTCTAAGTCTTCTATCACCTCTATGGCAGTAAGTTAACAGCAATGTTAACGTTAAACACGTGTAATTTTTAAGAAATATCCACCATTGTTTGTTTTGAATGTATGTAAAATTGTAAGGCGAGAAATAAAATGAAATTTCACACGCTTAAAACGTTGTTTAGGATTATTGAGTAGCATTTAAAACTTTACTTTTAATGTGTTTGTAGCATAGCTTTTGTTAATTTGAAGTTTTTTTTATGTATTTTGGGCCTCTAAAACTCTGTCCAAAGTCTTGTTTATAATCTATTTTTGTCATCTAATGAATGTTAATTTCATAGAGAGATTGTTTTTATTATATTATTCTATAGTAACATGCTCTATATTGCTTTGGCTTGTTACTACATAACTCTTCAAAATACATGCAGTTCTTAGAATAATGTAATGCACGGAGCAATTATATTTTAATACATGATTTAAAATGAAGTAAATGCTAATAAGCATAAGGTAGAAGCAAAAGCATTTTTTCTATTTGGTATGAATAATGATTACCTTATACTTTCGAGCAAATGCTTTTGGTAAACGAGTAAATGGTTCTTGATGCGAAGGTTACGACGCATTTAATCTCATTCCTATATTCTATTTTGTTAGCTATATTCAATTCATAGTAATCGTACTCATGTTGGTATTTGCTAATTAGTGTATATATCCATATTTTGCAATTTATTAAATGAGAAGAAATGTAACTTGAAGTTAGCAGTGGGAGATGAACTAAAGTTTATCGTAGACAAGTTGGCCTCGTATCTGGGAGTTTTATCCGAATCCTAAACACCTAACATAAAACCATCAAAAAATGTTAATCAAATATGAAGTTAATATGAAAATACCCAGTTCTATGCCTTTTTGGAATCCAGGATCAGTTAAATGTCATAAACATATTTTCATTTTTTGTAAAGAAGTTAGGGCACCACCACGTGATTGTCATTACTCCTAAAAAAAATTGTGCGCCAACCATTCAACACTTTCTTTCTCAAATCTAAATAACTCCTTCAAATCACTGACTTGTGAAGAAGATGAAGCTTATAATATTTAATCTTCCTTAGATTAACTACAGCCATGGTTAAACATTAACAGATTAAATTTAGATAAAATTTAATCTGTTAAAGTTAAATTTAGATAAAAGCAACAATAAACTACACTTCTTGCAGTTGAGTCTACATTTGACTAGATGTGTGTATTTCGAAGGACATGTTTATAATTGAAAGTAAATGCTTGTTTTTATTCATATGGCTCAATTGCCTTTTTTTGTTGTTTTGACCCAAATACACTGAACCAAGCATGATTCAATCCTCTTAAACTTTGAGACCAGTCATCCAATAATGGTATGCAGAATTGGTGCATGGTCTGGGAGTGTTTACAGTCAAAATCTATTGTATTACCAATAAGAAATTGTTTTCAGTATGGTCCGTATATTAATTTAACTATTACCTCACATTTTTGAAGAACTTTGTGCTGTTCTACACTGCGTCATCTACAATAAGAGCTGCATATTATCAAGGGTCAATTATTAATAGTGGCTTTACCAGTTCCAAATTTCATTATCTAGAGAACAAAAATGCAATTAGAAATGCATTCCTGCAAATTAAACTTCTCTCTTTGCATTCAGAAGTAAGGTAATGCTTGTGTGAATGCATATGGTGCCTGTATTTCATGTATTGTTTAGCTGGAATGTTACTTTCTTATCGGTTAAAACTAGCTGTTTCTCCATCTCCATTACTACAAATGGTCCTTTCTAATGATAGATACATGGGTCACAAAAGAAAAATGTAGTATGTACAGTGTACTTGGCAAAAGTCACAATACTATAGTTTACATCAGAGCCACTGCTAGACCTCTGTGTCAGTGAACATAAGGCATGATTAACACCTTTAGGAGGTTTTATGCCAGATTGTAACAGTGCAAAAATAATAAATTTACCCTCACCAATCCAGTTACCCTATTCTTGGCAGACAGCGTTTTAATTAAATGTAATAGGGCTTGCAGTATGCTACAGCCTAAATTTCAAATATTTGGAATCATTCGTCTCTTATTTCTCGTTATTTTTATATACTTTTTTTTAAAAAATTGACCATTATAGAATTGAGAAATGCATCTATGTATAAATCTAATATTCTTTACATTTGTATTACTCTGTATCTATATAACGAGAATGTAAAGTAATTGGAAATGCCCTTCTATTGTATACAATGTCCCTCAGAGCATGGTATTTTTCCCTCATTTTAAACAATGTTACAATATACTGTTGACTGGATTACATAAAACTCTTTTGGCTTGGCTTTTTCTACACTTGTATCTGATTTTTAAATGTAATTTTTAAAAAATAATAAATAAAATCATTCCCAAAGTAGTGAAATATCCCATCACATTTCAGTATTTTTACATTATCTCAATCTACTCTACAATTATTTACTGTACAATTTCTGCAAATACTGAATTTAGCTGTTGTTTTGTTTGTTGAAAAACATAACAATGGCTAATTGTGGATTTAAACGACACACTACAACAAGGAATAAATACAGTATTTTATGCACATTGTATAGTAAATAATTGTAGAATAGACATAGATAATGTACAAATACTGGACTTCAACAACAATATTCATTCCAGAATAACAATAGAAATAAATACTTGTAGAAGATTAGAATTAAGTGAATAATATTCTATTTTAAATTTAAAAAATTATAAAACTATGGTAATTTTTAATGGTTTTATAAGGATTTTAGAAAATTTCACTTAAAAATTGGATAAAAGTGATGAAAAAGTGGCTTGTCGATAAGTCAGAGATTTATTATTACAAGTCGGCCCCCCTATAACACTTGATAATTCCGTTTTATATGAATTCCATGTTGTATGAGTCACTTAGATTTTACAAATACGTGTGCCAGGCTGTCAACGGCTCACGTATTTGTAAAATCTATGTGACTCGTACAACATGGAATTCATATAAAACAGGATTATCAACAGTGTTTAGGGGGGTCAACTGTATTTTAGTGCAAAGGTATCTTGTCAAAAATTAATAAGTTATACAGGAAAAGGTTAAATACTCTTTTAGTACTGTTAGTTTAGATTAAATTAATTTTGTATAAATTAAATTATGATTTTCGAACAGTTAATAATAATATTTTTATTAATTTAGGCCGTGAGTGGAATCATCGAGAAGGAAGAACGTGGTAAGTGTAAGTTTTTTTTTTTTAATTCTATAAACAAATCAGAAATTAAATTGTAAAATAATTCTTAAAAATATTTATATAAATAAAGTGCAGCTGAGTTTTTCTTTACTGTATTTGGTGAATAATGCAGTACAGTTTGTAGTCTTGAGCATGTGCGTCACTTGTTGCCACACGTTTTCAGATTGAATAAGCATTGCAACTGTTTTAATATACTTATCTAGATGTAGGATCTGACTAATCATTAACTTTGAACTAAAAAATCTGCCTGTTCATCAGTAGGTATGTATGCTTGCACTCAATATATAGTTTAGACATGTGATTCTGTGAAAATAACTAAAGTAAGGAATAACGAGGAATCTGAATAGAGGGCATAGAATCTGAAGAAAGTGGAACAATAGATACATTATAAATTTAATGCACAGAGGTATCGAAAAAGTGTTGTCTTAATTTCTAGCATCCTTTAAACTTCTCGGGAACGAACAGTACATATCGCGGAGTCGACCTTCCTTTATGGGTTACTTTCCTTGCCTCAATATGTAAAAACAGTAAAAATATTCTCTGGCTTCTACACAATCATAAAAATTAATTAACATATATAGAGAAAAAGTTCGACTTCGCTGTAAGGTCCTCCTCGTTCTCTTTGCTTCCTCAGCCTATGGCTTTTGTCCTTTCATTATGATGCTAATTTGTATTTAGAAACATTGTTGTTTACAAAAATATTATATGCTCAATAAAGATGAACTAACTGCTGTAATTACTCATTTGGATTAACGTCTCTATTACTGTTAAAGGTGCATTGATTAATTCAGCATTATATTTGTGTTTTATATTCAGAAATTGTATTCTGGGCTTAGTTTCTTTGATAAATTAACATGTATCTGAATAATTTCAATCAAATTAATTTATTTTATTTATTTATAACTAATATATGAGAGTTCTATTGAAGTATCTTTTCCATTAAGCATACCTCTGCTGAATGGAAAAGATGTGTAAGAGTGCTTTTTATCATAACCTCCATGGTTAGGCCTGGTCAAAAATGAGCATCACAAGCAACAAGCTGTACCTTTATTGTCTCAGTATCAGCCATTAACAACTTGATAATATTTCCTTTGTTGTTGGGATCATTGCCTATATTTCAATTAGTTAATTCTTGATAATTCCATAATACTGGCAGAAAGTATACAATGTATCTTCCAATATGCCTATAGAAGATTAGATCACACAACCACCTATGACTGTTCGAAGAAAGAAGGATCATATTAACCAAGGCCAAAATAGATATAACGTCCTGGAATTGATAAATAGACCCCAAGAAAATGAAGGCATCGTTCTCAAACCTGCAAAAGAGGATAAAGCCAGAACTAAATCTTAAGGCAAAACCTGGACTGGAACTTTATATTGTTACCTACAACTCTCACTATACAAGGAGAAGATGAAATAATAGAAATAGAGAACAAATTAAAAAATATAAAATGGGACATTACACGACTCTCTGAGACAAAGAAGATGAATTAATACAATTTAAGAGTAACCGTGATTTGTGAAGAATGTGATATTAAGAAAAGCATAGGTATAGGATTCCTAATCAATAAGAAAATAAAACATAGAATAATAGAATAGAACTAATCAATAGAAGAATAAATGAATTTTATTTTTAAAGTCTGTTACAATAGAATGAAACATCTATAATCTAAAGTACCAGTTCTTATTATTTGTTGAAACATATTTCACACTGATATATTAATGTTAATTTCTTGTACTTTTGTATTTAAGGAGACGGTTGATTCAATACAGTATAAGATGTTACTATTATTATTTTTTTTAATTAATTTTGTACTTGTACTGTACCTAGTGTGAGGTTTGCTGACACGGAAACAGAGTTATTTAAACTCGCATTAGGATGTACAAGGGATTTAGAACTGTATGTGGGTAGTAGTGGACACACACTGACTCAGGTACTTTTACAAATGAAACTTGTTTATTTTCTATAAGAAGAGCTTACAGAGTGTTTCGGGTGATGATCTTCTCTGACAATCAATAATGTCCACGAATGCTAATTTGTAGCTGTTGGAATCTTGTTGAGTCGTTGGAGCCTTGGGGTGGTGTCCTGAATAGTTCAGCGGACGGAGGCCGACAGTGAAGTACAGGCAGGAACGATGAAACTTCATTAGGATTAATGGCACACAAAGATGAGGAGTCACTTTGGATGGGTCACTTTGGAAGGTACACAAATGACAGAAATTTGGGGGTATTTAAGGGATTTCATCCCCGAATATCCTTCTCTGATTTGTTCTGATTCCCTTTCATCATTTCCTGATTGTTCTCTTCCTTTGTTTCCAGATGGAAATAAGATTAAATCGATTCACAAGAAAGGTTGATCATAGGTGTTTAACCTGACACTGTCTCTCAACTCTGACTGGGAGATGGTGGAACTTTGAAACCTACACTTACCTTTTTGATCGTTATGTTCTGTATTCTGACATTTTGGAATGTTAACTGTCGAATGCAACATTTTCCTTTTGTCAAACCTGTCCATTTTCCAACTCAGTTTAACTTTGATCATTTGGATATGAGCGTCAATGTCAAAGTTCAAACTCTCCAGCCTCACAGTGATCTATTGCTTAACACATGTTGGAGTCACACTTGAGACTGACTTTGTTTACTTTCATGTCATGTTTAATTTTTAAAATTTCTTTTTTCTATTTTAAAATATTTTTAGTGTGATTAATAAGAGGTTTGGACTCTGTCTAGAACCTCATGCTAGCTGTTAATAATTTTAGTTACTGATGAGGGGCTGTAAAATGTAATTGTCTGAAATGTGTCTATTAATGTATGTAATCAACCTTGATTACATACATTAATAGATGCATTTCAGACAATTACATATATATGTAATTGAATTACTGGTAGCATCCCTATACACCTGCAGATGCAGGATTACAGAATTTTCAAGAATTATTTAAGTGGATAATAGTCAAAACCTCTACTTAAATAAACATAAACATACTATAAATGTACCATAAAAATGGTATATTTAGAACTTTAATTTCTCTTATGGTAGTAAATATCAATATTGCTGTTGCTAATATCCAGCCACATTTCTATCAGAATGTTATTTCCCATCCTCACTCATTATAGGTAATATTTGCATAAGTTAGGAATTAATTGAGACCCATAGTGTATCATATCTCATGTTATCAATTAGTCAATACAATTCTCTACTGCATTTTATGCTCTTTATCTCACTTATAAGTCACTTCTCTGCAAATAACCTATTCTTTCTTATTGTAGATCATACGAGCGAAGTCGAATCTCAGAATGCCAACAGTGAAAGCGAAGACAACACTTCCAGTCAAGGCAGTTCGACGCCAGTCACGGCAGTCACGTCAAACGGTAATACAAACGCGACAACTCAAAATGGTAACCAGTTACATCCGGTCGGTTCTAATAGTCAGCCTCCTTCAAAAATACCCAAAACAGGTCAAAGGATAAAGAAGACGGCAAAGAAGGCAAGACACAGGTAACTAGTGATACGAGCTACGAAAGTTTTATCCGTAGTGTATTTAATTACATATTAATTCTCTTTTGAATGTAGGCTGAACGAAGACTGAATAAGACATTATCCAGATACATGTCATTAATTAATCACTGAAACATTCATTTTATCATTAAATATCTTGTATATATCAGAAAAATTTGTACAGTTCATCACCCCAACAGTTTTTTACTGTTTTTAGTAGCATTTTTTCATGTACGTAAGCAAAAGTTTCCCATTCCGAAAGTTAGAATGACAATTTTTGGTTGCATTCTGGGTCATTCAATGGCCGACACACCCCAGTTATTTAATGAAACGCTTACCAAATAAGCGTTTTATTAAATAAGTAAAAACGGAATGTTAAAAATTCTTTTGCCAGTGACATCTCCATATTCCACAATTGATTTGGGAATGCATTTATTAAAATAAATGCAGAGATAATGAATTTAATCTGAAAATAAAGAATTGAATGTCAGACAAAGGCTGTTAAGAGGGAAGAAAACGTTTGTAGCTATATTACACAAAGCTTGAAATCTTTTAAGAATCGCACAAGCAGTGTCAAAATTTTATTGAAAACAAAAAGATTTTTAGAAAATTTTTTTAATTTAATTCATTGATGCAACATTTCTTGTTATCATTGTATCTAGTCATGTGCATGTTCATCATGGAAAAAGAATAAAATATTAATGTGATGTATTGAAGTTTTTATTTATATTTTTTCTATACAAAATTTTATTTCCTTCACTTTGACATTCTATCATTGCCGCGGCTAGGAGGATTCTGACTTAGAGGCGTTCAGTCATAATCCCACGGATGGTAGCTTCGCACCACTGGCCGCTCAACCAAGCACATGTACCAAGTGTCCGAACCTGCGGTTCCTCTTGTACTGAGCAGGATTACTTCTTCACATTTGTTCTTAATAATTTAATCCAGATTTATGCAATCTTAATCTCATTTGATTTGTGTAATGACAAGTTTACAAAGATGAGAAAAGAGAAGACTTTCTTTTGGAATTTCGAGAAAACAAGTTTTTCTATGAGACCAAAGGATTTGTTACGTAAAGCAGCGGCATGTGTCGCACGGTGTTTCTCATTTATTTTTGCCCATTAGAAGTGGGTTGATTCTCGGCAAGGTTTATTTGCATGGTGGGAAGCCAGACAAAACCGATCTGATCCTGTTGTAAAGAGCCAACGGGAGGCAGATGGGATAAAACTGTTGAACACCAGATTTACACCTCATCAATGGACTGGCTGCATGAAATTTTCTAGGTTTTCTTCACATGTAGCACACATAGGAATCTATTTTTTTTACAGAAGTTTATTTTAGAAGGCACCCACCCCTGTTGGCATTTCATTCAAGTGTTACATTATCTTAATCCATCAATTCAATCCAAAAATCATGAAGTTATGAATCAGATTTGATTCATGATTCTGCAATGTTATTAGAATCTGAAATCACATTGATTCGGGAGTATCAAACATGAATAGAGTGGTCCGAAATCTATAGTTTCATTTGTTCAATATGACTTTACGCGCACAGGAAATTAGTACATCTCTATCACTATTTTTCCCAATGTTGGAGTGGTATCATTACATCTAGCTTTATAAGAGTGTATATTCATAACATGAATTGTTTATGTGAAATATGTTATTTTTTTTCAGAATTTCAATCTTTAAAGCCAGATTTTCTAAATATCAATTGTTTTTACCATTTAATTTTTATAAAAATAGCCTTTAATGGCTATTTTTATAAAAATTTTTATAAATGCCCAGATATGTTCAGATAATGATTTTCTAATTGGATCTTTACCCTTTAATTCTAGTGAAAATGTCATCAAACAAATATTCACCCCACAGAAAATGTCAAAAACTTGAACTTTCATCTTTCACTTAAATTAGCAACTCAGTGTTACATAAAGTTCATTTACATATTCAAATTCCTGATTGGATAAAACGAATGCATACGTAATTTAAATCTGTCTTGGGAATGGTGATAATGCCAGGAATATTCAAAGAGAAATCAATCTAAGTGTTGGGAGCAAGCAAAATTCTTATCTTAAGGAACGTTTTTCATACAAAATATATATTTCTGATCATATGAAAAGTGATTTCAATATAAAATTTTCATTAATTTATATATAAATTGCTTATTTGTTAAGTTAATTTGGAAAAGAAATAGCACAACAAGACAAAATTGCTCAAGAGAAATGTAATTATCTTAATTTGTTAGATTCTAAACAAAAAAACTGGTCGGGTAAAGAGTTACAACGATTCATTTGGAATGGAAGAAACAACAAAATTCTATAAAACAAAATTATGCAAATTACTATCTTGGGGATAATCAATGAAAGACAATCAAGGTTTATTTTATTTACTTATTCAATAATACCTTAAATCTATAAGGGATTAAACTTCTCATAGTAAATCTTTTCAGGTTGTTGGTTAATAACATTTTTTAATCTTTTAGGTATGAAAAATACGAAGCAGAAGAGCTATAACTAGAGAATTGGTTAGTGGAGAAAATTTGGTCAATGGTAAATAGGAAAACTTGAAAAAATAGAGGAATTACAGAACGTGAGAATCCATAAAATTGGGGAATAACGGGTGAATTGGTCATTACATTGTGAGAAAATCTGGAAAGTGAATTGAAAAAAATGGCCAAGAGGAGAACACGAAAAAGAAAATAGCAATGGAGCAAGTCTGCTTTTAAAATGGGAATAGGAGAAAAGTAATGAGTAGATAAAAAAAAGCAAGAAAATAGGGAAGGTAGTCACAGAAAAATAAAACGAATTGGAAAACTTGGTTAGTGTAGAGCACAAAGGAAAAGGAGAAAAGATGGGTGAATACAAAATCGGAAGAGGAAAGCTGGTCATCAAAGAGAGTAAGGAACAGGAGAGCTATTCGTCAGAGAAAGCTGGCTACCGGAAAATAGAGAGAGAGAGAAAAAAAAGAAACAATTAGGGAACTGTTCCCTGGAAAATAAAGAACAGAAAAGTCGGCATTCGGCATATTATACGAATTGGGGGATCGGACAATTCCCTTCCCAGATTTTGGAGAAAGCGAGGGGAAAAAACACTCGATGAAAGCAAACTGGTTAACAGATAAAAAATTACTACTAATGATTTTGTTTGTGAAAAATTTCGGGAAAATCTCTGTCCCTTAACTAAAGTATTATGGTACGACCATGACTTTTGAAATATGAAACGGTAAAGGAAAAATAGAATAAATAGGAAAAAAAAACTTCTTCATACTTATCCACGTGGAGGGAAAGATGCTCACTGTGAACGGAACGAAATGAAAACGTCACAGCAGAACACACAGACAAGGAAAAGTATTCATGGGAGAATATAAAAAATTAGAATAGGTCATGGAATAGAATATGAAAAAGAAAGCAATAGAGAAAAACCAATCACTAGAGAACATAAAAAGCGAGTCACTGGAGAATAGAAACTAAAACAATAGATTGCCACTGGAGAAAAAGAAAAAGAAAACGGGACGAAGAAAATTGACAATTGGGAACATAAAAAAAGAAAGAAAAGACAGAGAAAGTTGGATTCTGAATACCAAGAGATATTGGAGGAACTTGGAAAGATGATCTTTGAAGGATACGAAAATACAGAATAACAACAGATGAAATATGGATAATGAAAACGCGCCACAGAAAATAGGAAAAATTAACGTTTCTATAGGACATAGGAACGTGAATTTTTATAACTACGTTCATAGGAAGCTTTAAATTCCATTTCACAAAAGTAACTAGCGATTAACTTCAGGAAAACTGTTTTAAAAGTAGTAATTAATCCCATCAAATATTTGCATAAAATCGAATTAAAATAGCAACGAACTGATAGTCCACTAAAACCATTTTAAGATTTTTATTTTAGGAGCGAGTATCACCTTTTAACTTAATGCACTTCAACTTATCTAATTTCGTTATCGTTGCTCTTAAATAATATATTTATCGGTGGTGTGGCTTACATTAAAGCTGCACATTAATAAAGTTGGAATAATGGACCATAACAAGCAAAAATTTAATAGTTTATTGCGCTGTGAAACGGGATATTACGCGATGAAATTAATGTTTATAATGAAGCTCTCGATGTTTGGACTGGGGACCTTGAAACGTGGGGAAATGCAAAATTTGGGGATTTTTTTTTCCTGTATGAAGGGACATGATTTTGTTCACCCACCTTGTAACGCCTCGTGACGATTACTTTACTCACTCGTCTATGTAATTTTGGGCAGCCCCTTACCCGTTTCGTATATTAACAATTATTTTTTAATTAAAATAAATTATAATAAACAGCAAACTACAGATTACTAGAAGGGAGCAAAATTGTTTTAGGAAGTAAAATTATCTTTAGTAACTATAACGCTCAACAGATGGCATTAAGTTACGTTTGTACTGTTCGGTAAAAGTCTGTTTTCAGTTGTTTAGAAAGGATCAGCAAACTTAATTTTAGTAACAGAAACCCTCAACAGATGGCAGTAAATTACTTTTTAGTTTTATTAAAAATTAGCAAATATCTATATACAAAATTGTTGCTAGTTTCTAAAAGAGGAAAATTGCTTTTAATTACAAACACTGTGGTGTGTTGAGCGTTAAATTTATTTGAATTATGTTAATATTTTCAAATTTATTTAAAATATTTTGATACATAACTTTTATTAAAAGACGTTTCCTGACGCATTCGGACCACTCTGGAGGATAATACATATTTCTGAACACGAACACTTGATGAATAAAAGTATTACCCTGTAGAATTGCAAGCGTTTCTATTATTATCGTTTTGTACCTTCAAATTTTCACGAAATTCGTTGATTAAATTTGTTAAATTTACATTAAAATCAATAAATATATTTGGTTTCACCCTTTAATTACCGTTTCAGATATAAAAACTTTGTAAATTTCATTTATTTAATTCAAATTTTACAATGTAATAAACATTAAACACGTGTTTGAAACAGATTAAATTTTTAATAATAAAATGCCTCGTGTTTGAAACTGAAACGTTTGTGTTAATTTTTAACACGTGCAAATCTGCCTTGAAATTGATATAATGAAATGTGTCAATTTCATACACGTGGTATTTGAAATTGATTTATATCAATTTCAAATACCACGTGTATGAAACCGAAATAAATGCTNTGGCCCCTTCTTAGGTATTAAATAAGAACTTCACGTGTCACGACCACCAGTATTCGGTGGTTTTATCTATATGGCCAATAGTGAGTCACGTATAGATTTGACCAATAATATTGAGCTTATTGGGCAACTAGTATATAGTTTCAATTTTGGGGGAAAATTGTTAGTATAAAATTTACTCCTAGGATGAAATTTGGCGCTGGTGTCCTTTTAATTAATGTGTGTGTTGTCTACGTTTTCTAACGAATTTCGAATATAAAAAGAGGCTCAAAACATTTTTCACAATCTTTTGACAGCTGAATAATCATGGTGATCAGTTTGCCCGATCGTGCGTGACTCGTTAAATTCTATCAACGAAGCAGCAATGTCAGCTCGGTACTTAGGATATTCCGTTGCTTATAGGCCCGAAATTCCTTAAAAAATGTACGTATTCAGATAAGGACAATGCCAAATTTCCCCTAGCGACTAAATTTTGCAGTCTATTTTTAATTGGTACAGTTGAACGATATTTTGTAGGTGTTCATCGGTTTACTTTTTAAATGTGAATTAATGACGACGTAAGAAATTTCGTCCACACAACATACAAAATTTGCATTAGTTCATAATTTATTCTATTTTTTGAACTTTTTTATTTAAAAAAAGAATATTACGTAATTAATGAATAAACTACACGTAGATATTTATTAAACAAGAAAGGAAGTAAGTAATTATGTTTTGTTATAAAATCACAAAGGAAGGATTTATATTACAAAGACAATAACACAGCAGATAGGTATTACTCCGTCCCTTTTTTAATAACCTTTTAAACTTAGATTTAGTTAAGAATTTTACTGAAATTCTCTCAGCACGAACTTCGATATATTAAATTCTTAAGAATCATTCGTCAAAGTGATACAATTGTTTTCATTTCTTAACATTGTCAGGTGACCTTTTACTGTTTAAATACAGCCTAACAGATTTATATGAAGGTCGAATTACATTACTGAAACTTTGATTGAATTTAGATGATGTTATATAAGTCACTTCTTCGTTAAATCTAAGTGAATTTAGGACAAAAAACAATATATTTTATTTGTAAAATTAAATTTAAATTTAGTTCTACACTGAACAGGGCACGAATAAAGTTACTAGCCTTAAGCTAGTTTCATTCAAGGCTAAAGTGGTGTGGAGTAGATCGAATTACATAATTCTCAGTTACTTGTGAAATAAATTTAAAGAAAATTGGTGTAATTTAAAGTTCAACTTCGTTAAATTTTGAGTTAAACAGATAAACAGGAGATAAACATGCTTAAAATGTCAAAAACGTTAGACTTGTATTGAATAATTACATTAATTACATCTCAAACAAGATCATTATAACGTAACTTTTATTAACAATTAATTCATTCGAAAGCGAAAATGAAATTACTATGCGAATTAGATCGACAATTTATATAAAATTGTCGGTTAAACACCTTTAAAATTGTTTATTTCAACTATTTAAAATGTTAAATCTGAATTAAATACACTAAATTTAAAAAATTCAGTTATATATTACTAATGATTTAGTAATTAAAGTATCAAAAACCGTAACTGATAATTTTGTAATTGTTAGGACATCTATTTTTAACACCCAAAATATTATTTTTAAGCGAAGTTGTTTAATGGATAGATAATACTAATCTTCGTCATACGACAAATACAGATTACATTATACTAAACTCAATTGTTACTGCTAAATTGGTTCCTTGAAGATCGTCGTAAAACGAGACTCCGATTTCCATTATGTTCAATGCCTTCAATTGAGATTACGTTCCTGGAAATACACAGTTTTAACTATACAATACCACAAAGAAATGGTCAAGAAAAAACAGAGTAATTCATACAAATTTAAAAAAAATTTTATTCGGTCGTAAAGTGGGGTCTATTGTTTACTTTTAATTAAATATTTCTATCCTAATGTTAGTGGAAAACAATGTAGTAACCAGGGACACAAACAAAATCCTTGTAAACAATCTAGATGCTGCCACATTTTGCATGCCAATTACCAAATTGCAAAATTTCCATCCTCTTGCATGCCATAGGCACTAAAGTGCCTATGGCATGCAAGAGGCTTTCTTTATTGTTAGCTCGTTCAGGCGCATAATATACTTAGAACAGATCTCAATGGACCATATTGGGCACGTGAAAGTTGTCGAGGCTGAGAAGATTCCTAGAATGATCTATTTTTGTATAGTTTTTCTGCAAGTTATGTTTAAACAGGTGAAAGCTTTCAGAATCTTGTATCTTGGATACGCAAATTAATAGGGTAATAATAACATTTTATACAGTACTCAATTTTGAGAAAACGAATTAAATTTGAAAAGCTTAACATTCTATAAGTTCTGTATAACGTAAGCATTTTAGAGAGGTTGCGGACGACGTTTTCAACGCGAAAACGTCAACGTCAGACGTTCAGCGCGGCCTTCCTGTAAGCCTAGAAGTTTGACAATGGCGTTTGGAACGTCAGTGGTATCATGCTCGACGTTCCAAACGCCATTGTCAAACTTCTAAACTTACAGGAAGGCCGCGCTGAACGTCCGACGTAGACGTTTTCGCGATGAAAACCCGCCGCAAGCTCGTTATTATCGCGAAATCGAATCCGAACTATTATGTAATTCGATCTTACTACTTATTATACTAAGTACAGAAATTANCAATCGATTCCGTTCAAACAATCTATGAAGCTAATCAGTTACAACAATCGATTCAGTTTTAACAATCGATGAAGCTAGTCAGTTTCAATAATTACAAAATAAACGTAAAAAGAACTTGTAACAAATGTAACTGATTACTTTGTAATTGTTATAACACATTTAATCTCTGCAATTGACCGGTTTATATCAGTTACAATAATTAATAAATAAAACTTACAAAAATAATCAGTTACAATAATTAGAAAACAGATTATTTTCAAGAATTGATCACTTCAATTTTAAAATTGTCATAGCTGATTGTTTTATTTATAATTGTTGTAACGAATGTCATAAATTTGTAAAATGGATTAAATTAGAATTAAAACAGTGGAATAATTACTGATTAATTAGTTACAGAACCTGTATCAGAGTAACATAAATCATAAATTATGGGTTAATAAAAGTTCTCAGACAGATTTAGCTGACGTTATAACGCTTTCAGGGCTTATATCATGAATTATGCAACTGTGTAACATCTTAGCTTTCATATTAAGTGCTCCAAAGAGGGATTCTAAATGCGGGTATTGAGCAAATTACGTATTTAAGCCGTCATTCGCACCTCGTCATCACACGATTACTTTTTAAATTTGTCGTTTAAATGACGTGTCGTGTCGTAATTTAAACTTAGCCACAATCTTTTTATCCACGAAATTATAGATAATGATAATATAGCGAAGTTTACAAAAAAAATGACCATAATTCCCCGCTATATTCAAGTGTTTATCGTGTAAACAAGGAGGCCATATTTATGTATATGCGGAAGTAAAATAATTTTGAATTATATTTAAAGTAAATAAATATATAACACCGGTTAAAGCTATAAATATTTTTTATTTTTAAAATATTAACAGTGTCGCTTTCGAGAGACGCCATATTTAATTCTAATTCAGGTTAAGACGTCATCAACGCGTCGGATTAGTACCAATGTGACGTATTACTCAAACAAGCGTCATAAGTCACGTGCAAGAACCTATTGATTCAATACACTCATTTTTAATGTAAGAACAGATTACGTGTTAACAGATTAGATAAGTATTTATGTAGTCGACCCCCCTATAACACTGTTGATTTTTCCGTTTTATATGAATTTCATATTGTACGAATTACTTAGATTTTACAAATACCTGTGCTGGGCTGTGAACGGCTCACGTATTTGTAAAATCTAAGTGACTCGTACAACATGGAATTCATATAAAACGGAAAAATCAACAGTGTTATAGGGGGGTCAAAAGTCTAATCATGTATCTGAATTGATAAGTATGGTGGGTTGTGAACCACCTTATACAAAGTATTGTTTTTTAATTATTTCTTTCTGTTTTTCTGGCATTGTTTTCAGCAACAATAAATAAGTAGCAAACGTGATGAAGTGTTTGGGTTTATCACACCCACCAATACTCGCCTCTAATTGGTAGACAAAGCCACAGAGGCACGAAATAATCGTAAATTTTACTCCATACTGTATGTTTTAAGATAGAGAAAATCAATGTCACTATCATAAACAGTCTTTTTACTGTTTTTAAAATTGTGTGTATGCAATGAAAGTAACTTCTCGTGTAAGCCTATTGCTTTCTACAGCTTACCTTACAATGAAAAAACAGCCTTTGTAATGTTAATGTTCACATACCAGT